TGTGTCAGTACTTGTTGTAGTGAGTACCTGGGGCACTGTGTCAGTACTTGTTGTAGTGAGTACCTGGGGCACTGTGTCAGTACTTGTTGTAGTGAGTACCTGGGGCACTGTGTCAGTACTTGTTGTGAGTACCTGGGGCACTGTGTCAGTACTTGTTGTAGTGAGTACCTGGGGCACTGTGTCAGTACTTGTTGTAGTGAGTACCTGGGGCACTGTGTCAGTACTTGTTGTAGTGAGTACCTGGGGCACTGTGTCAGTACTTGTTGTAGTGAGTACCTGGGGCACTGTGTCAGTACTTGTTGTAGTGAGTACCTGGGGCACTGTGTCAGTACTTGTTGTAGTGAGTACCTGGGGCACTGTGTCAGTACTTGTAGTGAGTACCTGGGGCACTGTGTCAGTACTTGTTGTAGTGAGTACCTGGGGCACTGTGTCAGTACTTGTAGTGAGTACCTGGGGCACTGTGTCAGTACTTGTTGTAGTGAGTACCTGGGGCACTGTGTCAGTACTTGTTGTAGTGAGTACCTGGGGCACTGTGTCAGTACTTGTTGTAGTGAGTACCTGGGGCACTGTGTCAGTACTTGTTGTAGTGAGTACCTGGGGCACTGTGTCAGTACTTGTTGTAGTGAGTACCTGGGGCACTGTGTCAGTACTTGTTGTAGTGAGTACCTGGGGCACTGTGTCAGTACGTGTAGTAGTGAGTACCTGGGGCACTGTGTCAGTACTTGTTGTAGTGAGTACCTGGGGCACTGTGTCAGTACTTGTTGTAGTGAGTACCTGGGCACTGTGTCAGTACTTGTTGTAGTGAGTACCTGGGGCACTGTGTCAGTACTTGTTGTAGTGAGTACCTGGGGCACTGTGTCAGTACTTGTTGTAGTGAGTACCTGGGGCACTGTGTCAGTACTTGTTGTAGTGAGTACCTGGGGCACTGTGTCAGTACTTGTTGTAGTGAGTACCTGGGGCACTGTGTCAGTACTTGTTGTAGTGAGTACCTGGGGCACTGTGTCAGTACTTGTTGTAGTGAGTACCTGGGGCACTGTGTCAGTACTTGTTGTAGTGAGTACCTGGGGCACTGTGTCAGTACTTGTTGTAGTGAGTACCTGGGGCACTGTGTCAGTACTTGTTGTAGTGAGTACCTGGGGCACTGTGTCAGTACTTGTTGTAGTGAGTACCTGGGGCACTGTGTCAGTACTTGTTGTAGTGAGTACCTGGGGCACTGTGTCAGTACTTGTGTGTAGTGAGTACCTGGGGCACTGTGTCAGTACTTGTTGTAGTGAGTACCTGGGGCACTGTGTCAGTACTTGTTGTAGTGAGTACCTGTGGCACTGTGTCAGTACTTGTTGTAGTGAGTACCTGGGGCACTGTGTCAGTACTTGTTGTAGTGAGTACCTGGGGCACTGTGTCAGTACTTGTTGTAGTGAGTACCTGGGGCACTGTGTCAGTACTTGTTGTAGTGAGTACCTGGGGCACTGTGTCAGTACTTGTTGTAGTGAGTACCTGGGGCACTGTGTCAGTACTTGTTGTAGTGAGTACCTGGGGCACTGTGTCAGTACTTGTTGTAGTGAGTACCTGGGGCACTGTGTCAGTACTTGTTGTAGTGAGTACCTGGGGCACTGTGTCAGTACTTGTTGTAGTGAGTACCTGGGGCACTGTGTCAGTACTTGTTGTAGTGAGTACCTGGGGCACTGTGTCAGTACTTGTTGTAGTGAGTACCTGGGGCACTGTGTCAGTACTTGTAGTGAGTACCTGGGGCACTGTGTCAGTACTTGTTGTAGTGAGTACCTGGGGCACTGTGTCAGTACTTGTTGTAGTGAGTACCTGGGGCACTGTGTCAGTACTTGTTGTGAGTACTGGGGCACTGTGTCAGTACTTGTGTAGTGAGTAACCTGGGGCACTGTGTCAGTACTTGTTGTAGTGAGTACCTGGGGCACTGTGTCAGTACTTGTGTTAGTGGCGTACCTGGGGCACTGTGTCAGTACTTGTTGTAGTGAGTACTGGGGCACTGTGTCAGTACTTGTTGGTCGTGATACCTGGGGCACTGTGTCAGTACTTGTTGTAGTGAGTACCTGGGGCACTGTGTCAAGTACTTGTTTGCAGTGAGTACCTGGGGCACTGTGTCAGTACTTGCTGTAGTGAGTACCTGGGGCACTGTGTCAGTACTTGTTGTAGTGAGTACCTGGGGCACTGTGTCAGTACTTGCTGTAGTGAATACCTGGGGCACTGTGTCAGTACTTGTTGTAGTGAGTACCTGGGGCACTGTGTCAGTACTTGTTGTAGTGAGTACCTGGGGCACTGTGTCAGTACTTGTTGTAGTGAGTACCTGGGGCACTGTGTCAGTACTTGTTGTAGTGAGAACCTGGGACACTGTGTCAGTACTTGTTGTAGTGAGTACCTGGGGCACTGTGTCAGTACTTGTTGTAGTGAGAACCTGGGGCACTGTCAGTACTTGTTGCAGTGAGTACCTGGGGCACTGTGTCAGTACTTGTTGTAGTGATTACCTGTGGCATTGTGTCAGTACTTGTTGTAGTGAGTACCTGGGGCACTGTGTCAGTACTTGTTGTAGTGAGTACCTGGGGCACTGTGTCAGTACTTGCTGTAGTGAGTACCTGGGGCACTGTGTCAGTACTTGTTGTAGTGAGAACCTGGGGCACTGTGTCAGTACTTGTTGTAGTGAGTACCTGGGGCACTGTGTCAGTACTTGTTGTAGTGAGTACCTGGGGCACTGTGTCAGTACTTGTTGTAGTGAGTACCTGGGGCACTGTGTCAGTACTTGTTGTAGTGAGTACCTGGGGCATTGTGTCAGTACTTGTTGTAGTGAGTACCTGGGGCACTGTGTCAGTACTTGTTGTAGTGAGTACCTGGGGCACTGTGTCAGTACTTGTTGTAGTGACTACCTGGGGCACTGTGTCAGTACTTGTTGTAGTGAGAACCTGGGGCATTGTGTCAGTACTTGTTGTAGTGAGTACCTGGGGCACTGTGTCAGTACTTGTTGTAGTGAGTACCTGTGGCATTGTGTCAGTACTTGTTGTAGTGAGTACCTGGGGCACTGTGTCAGTACTTGTTGTAGTGAGTACCTGGGGCACTGTGTCAGTACTTGCTGTAGTGAGTACCTGGGGCACTGTGTCAGTACTTGTTGTAGTGAGTACCTGGGGCACTGTCAGTACTTGTTGTAGTGAGTACCTGGGGCACTGTGTCAGTACTTGTTGTAGTGAGTACCTGGGGCACTGTGTCAGTACTTGTTGTAGTGAGTACCTGGGACACTGTGTCAGTACTTGTTGTAGTGAGTACCTGGGGCACTGTGTCAGTACTTGTTGTAGTGAGTACCTGGGGCACTGTGTCAGTACTTGTTGTAGTGAGTACCTGGGGCACTGTGTCAGTACTTGTTGTAGTGAGTACCTGGGGCACTGTGTCAGTACTTGTTGTAGTGAGTACCTGGGGCACTGTGTCAGTACTTGTTGTAGTGAGTACCTGGGGCACTGTGTCAGTACTTGTTGTAGTGAGTACCTGGGGCACTGTGTCAGTACTTGTTGTAGTGAGTACCTGGGGCACTATGTCAGTACTTGTTGTAGTGAGTACCTGGGGCACTGTGTCAGTACTTGCTGTAGTGAGTACCTGGGGCACTGTGTCAGTACTTGCTGTAGTGAGTACCTGGGGCACTGTGTCAGTACTTGCTGTAGTGAGTACCTGGGGCACTGTGTCAGTACTTGTTGTAGTGAGTACCTGGGGCACTGTGTTAGCGAGTACTTGAGACAAGATTCCTTGCACAAGGGTTTCTGTTTGGTGTTTAAACCTCTTCCTACAAGTCGACAATGAACCGGACGCACGCTTGGCGAATTTCGCGACCGTTTATTCCTAACGGGGACATTGTCAGCTGTCTCAAAGCATGTAACACCACGATGGCGTCATACAAGGCACACCCAGAACACATCCAGAGCACATTCTAGCGTGTCACGAACTGTGGGGCATTTCGTAACATTCACCGCCATCATTGTGTAATGCGAGACATTGCATTGTAGGAATACCTAGCCGAAGGATAATGTTTGAAAGGAGCATTATTCGAGTCGATGACTACAATGTTTAGGCCATTGTGGACGAAGGCCTCCCCCACATGCCGTGCCGGTCATGGGGGTCGCTTTGACCATACTTCACCACAATGACCAGTGTGGGTTGAAGGGAATGACAGATTCAGACATCACTCACCACAAGATGTTAGCCATGGGTCGGAATCGAACTTGTGAGCCCCACAGGGTTCACAGCGTAGCGAGCCAAGCTGACCAATGCGGCTCTCTTCACTTCACCCACTCGTAATTATGGGTTGGGGTTATTAGCACCATCGCGAAAACTTTTGAATCCACAAACGGGAACGGAAGTTAAACGTTGCCCAATGACGACGAATCGTTTAAGTAAGAATGTTGATTCCAATTGAAACCTACGATAACGTATACATAACTATCATTAAGAAGAGGTAAATACATTATAATACTAGAGTGAACTCTATATATTTAATGGCATTATATTAATGTATTCATATTGTCTACATACAAACAAAAATATCATTTTCGGATAGAACCGTGTTAGGGATCATGTCCGACGTTTTGCTCCACCTACCGGAGAGCTTCAGGAACCCAATTCCCCCATCGACACTACCTACTTGCAAAAGTTCCTGAAGACCCCAGCCCAGGCACCGAAACGTCGGACACCGTGCTGAACGCCACACGGCAAACCCTGAAAACACCGGGAGGGCTAAGACACTGCTGATAAGCGCTCACAATTCGTATGCAGGGTCGAAAGTTTCACCAAAGCGCTGACAATAGTCCTGCTGCTGGGTGAAAATCTTCATAATTTGAAAATTACACGCCCCGTTACTCGATTGGGATTCTACAAAGCAGCAAATCATCGCCACCGACTGGCAGCACTCATGCCCCGGGTCACTTTTGCAAATGACCCTCATCCCCTGGATCTCTTGGTTACACACAATCATCTTGAAAGACGACCCGTTCGTGTAATATAATAACGATTTTATTCATATCTAGAATGTAACGATAGTACAAAATGACGTAAAAAATTCAAAGTACTGTATTAAATTGAAATAGACATTAAAATCTGTAAATTTGAATATTACTAGTATATATGTCAAATAGTAAAAAAATCAATATCTATCTAAAACACCACGAGCGCAACTCTTACGCGTGGTCGATTTCCCATTCAGGGCCCACCGATGCGTTCCTATCAACCAGGCTCTCTTCCTTGAGCTCGGGAGCATCTCCAGACCTGCTTCGGGCAAGCGCGCGCACAATGCCCCTTTTTCCACCTGGCACATCCGAGCCGCGCCAGGGGAGGGGCCCACAACCGGGAACGGAACGCTTATCCCCACCGGCTATTTGCCGGAGCCGAAGCCAAAACCGCATCATTGCACCTCCGATGAGCGCACGGTTGGCAAAGTACGGCGCGAAAGAAGTTCAACGTACGTACATTGCGGACATTATGCCGACCTCGCAAGACAAGCTCAGGGGGTGGACCAGGGTCCTTGGGGACGGAATTAAATCAATGTGAGCGTTCGTTGCGGAGGTCGGTGGCTCGGCTCGGAGTTCGCGCAGTGGAAGATCGGACACGCTGCCTCCTGAGATAGCACGGGCACGGCCCCACAGCGCCGCTCGCTTTAAGAGATTATGAGAAGCAGGGCTATAGGACTTTTGACTTTGACTGGCGACTACAGCAGCGGGAGCACACACTTGGGGGGTTCCGGTTCGACCTGAAAATCCATCGAGATAGTTTGGCCGAATATTGGGTCGAATACAAATGTGACAAATCAGACAATCACAAAAGATCAAGCGATTTGCTTGTAATAGAAAAAAAGCAGGTATTTTTTTACACCCATTTTTCAAGTCCACAGCTGGATGAAGGCATCCACACGGTGTGGTCCTCGGGATTTTGTCTGACCACTCAAAAACACGCCGGCAAGTGCAGCCCGTTCAGATGTCACTCGACTCGCCACGATTCAGTTCACAGAAAACATTCCGTGTTTGTTGTTCTCTTGTGACCTGGTCAAGTCAGACCTAAGCTGTGCTCCCACCAGTAGCCACCTTCTGGCACAAATACTTGCATACACGCAGTGTTAAAACATTTTTGGTGGTCTTCATTGCAAAAGAGGTTGTCTCAAAAGGTTTTTTTTGGTATAAATTTGGGTCACTTCAATTCGTTTAGATCGGTGCTTGGCAACCCGTGTGCCCGCGGCATATTCTCAATTTACAGCAAAGGAAAATGAACCTTCACCGTTGGGGACAGACGGAACTCTCCTCCTCCGCGCCGGTCAGCGGCCGATCCAGCCCCACCACCCCCCGTCCTCCCCTCCTCTCTCCACATCGGCCGCCAGCCACCACCCCCGGCCCTCTCAGCTGCCTCGACCTCGCGCAGTTCGGCAAAACGGATTCTTTAGGTTCAGCGCGCCGCGAAGATCAAGCAAACTCCGAACGTGAGCGCCGTGGACTGAAACGGGTTGACAAGCAACGATTTAGATGCAAGGAAGACCAAAGCGCTTGGTTACTGTGTAATACTGCTACATGTCGTGACACGGGCCGAGACCGAGCCAGGCTGCACGGGCATCACGAGTTGATTTACTGCAACCACTCGGTAACTCCATAGGCAAGATTTGTGCAATTACTACTCAATTATTAAAAACGTGATTTCCAATGGCCCAGTCATGGTTTATGTCTTTTGCAGGTGTCCATTGTAACAAAGAACTCTTCTTCATTCGCTTTACCTCGCCTCATCTCGTACAAATCATTAACACACTCATCCCCACTTTCTAACGTACAACCCAATATCACTATTATATTACTGCTATTAGTATTAAAACTATAAATTCACGTATTTCTATTTGATTATATAAAATACATTATTTATGTTATGTTCTAAAAAGTAATCAACATTTGTTAAATCGAACCATGAATAAACGTATACATATATCAATTCCATTATTTTATTGTTTTTACTCATTAAATAATGCATTAAGAATATTTCTATTTTAATAAAGATAAACAGTTAATATATTTTTTTCTTATTATCTTATCTAATATTATCTATTGCTTAACATAACTGTTTGGATGTGGTCCAAGAAAAAGGCACAGGGGAATGATGTTTTTACCAATGTCCGGTGGCACTCGCCGACAAGTGAGTGAAGAGAGCTCGCCACATGCCACGCAAATAAAATGCATCTTACAGCTCACCAAAGCCTTTGAATCGTCTCCACTACTTGGTGTGTTTTGTGCCTGCCGTGCCGATTGTGAAGCAAGGCCGCCGTTGACCCGACCGCAGCGATTCATTTTGGCTGGATGGGTTGGCTACTTAACAGCCTTTGCGGCGAGATTCAGGCAGTTGCAGAAGAAACCGTTTCTACTCGCGCAAAGCCAAGATGCCACTCGGTCCTGCACATTCGTCCATTTTCTGTCAATACAGTAACTGCAGCGTACACACGTATCAATACATACAATTGTCTAGGAGATGGCCCTGCAATTCTTGTCACCATCCACAAAATGTCCAGGAAATGTTTCACGACGGCGGATGAAAAAAAAAACATGAATTCTCTTACCATGGCACAGAAATCGGTAATCGAATCTTTGAGCAGACTTGGGTTTTAGCGACCAATGTTACGATTAGTAACCGACTTTCAGAACAGATCGCGCAAGTAAAGTGCGTGTCGTATACCCTTCTCCAGCCGACAGCCAGGTAAGGGAACAAAACGTGCTAGCCTATCGCTGCCGCAGCACCCCGGATGTGTTAGAGAGCGATACAGACGTATTTAACAATTGTGTACGCTTCACTGCTGGTTACAAAGCACCAGCACCATCAGGCAGTTGCCAGGATTGTGGCCCTCCAACACAGCGGAGTGCTGAAGTAGAAAACAAGCTGCCACGTTGGTTCACGCGACAACTTCCTTCATTGGCTTTGGTCGAGCGTCACCGCATCGCGCGGCGCTTTCAGATGCGCTTCTGCGGCCGTCTGGAACGCTCTTCCTTCCGATATTAGGAAGCCACTGGGAGCTATGGGCTTTAAAATCATCTAGATTGAAAACTAATTTCCTTACAACTGCCTTCTCTTTTCAATTTATCCTTCCCCCGGGCATCTCCGATTAGCACGGTGGGCTACGTACGGTGTGAAAGAAGTTAAACTTCACACATTTTTGTTTTACGCGTTCTGACCACACATTTTTTTTATTACGACTCAAACGAAGAGTCTCTTCACCCCCGCTGCTCGATCCGTGCGTCAGCCCTCCCATGACAGCGAGGGCCCCCCTTGCCTCATATTGATAATTGTTATTGTAAACATTACTTTAATATTGCTAAAATTCATTTAAAAACACATTACACGTTTTCATTAAGGTTTACTCGTCATTCTAAAATATATATTTTTCTGAATGTAATGGTTAAAAGGAATTACATGATCGTTGATATAAATTCAAATATGTATTATTAAGAAATGATTGGATGCATTCTAAAACAACTGGAATGAATATGATCCAGACCAGAAATCACTGTGGGCCACTCATAAAAAAAAATATTTCATCATCACCCTCCTACCTGCAAACCCTATTATCCACACAGGGTCAAGGAATCGACAAACCCTTCACGATATCTGCGAACAATGCAAGAATAAACACCTGTATGTGTGTGGGGCTCCAAACAATGCCTGCCCTGTTGGCACGCCTCTCTCTAGGTAACAAAAACAATCTACCAGGGCCACGACTCTACCCTTCCTCTTCCCTGCGGGGTGGAAGACCAATTGCTCTGTTCTGTGAATTGCAGAAATGGGGCAAACAGAGCCCCCCCCCCCACCGACCCACACTTTAGGATGCTGTTCAACACGATCGCCGTAACCACCCTGCGTTAGTTACATGCAAACGACAGCTGACGCTCCCTCAACAATCCCCCCACCCCCACCCTTGCATTGTCGTTCATTCATTCAAAATAGCACATTCATTGGCTGGGGAGATCTTAATACAAAATACAAAGAGGACCGGAGAACTTGGGCAGTTTTTGGTGCCGGCTCACCGCCTGCCTGCTGCTGCCTCCCCGCGTCGTCTGCGGTTTCCTCCTCGTGCCCTCCGAGTCGTTCCCTCGCTTCGAGAGCGAGCAAGCGAGCGAATACTGTGCGGCAGCATATCACAAGTTGAAATTATCATCATTATTTCTCCGCGGAAGAACTAAACGGCCGGAAGGAAAGGTGACAGAATACAACGGCCGTACTTTCTCGTGCGAGCTCAAGACCGTTGTTTCATTACCGCACCGCGGCGGCAGCGGTGGGCAAGGGTCTCGAGGTGAAACAGCGGAGGCTCGGGGGAGCGCGCCAGAGCGGCGAGACCACAGCGCGGTGGCGCTAGTCTCACCACCGGAACAGCATTCGAGGAATTGCGTTTCGCATTAAATACTGTTAAGTGTTACAAGCAATACGGTGCCGACTGCGTTACTTTTCAGTGTTGTAGTTAAAAGAGACCTGCCAGTGCGTAGTATAGAGGAAAGTTACAAACGCCCGTTTGCCACTGTACAGTAGTTCTATTTCATACTATGAAAAATTACGTCTAAAATATTGAATTTTTACAAAGTTGTGTGGATGCGATTAGGACATTCTCTCTCAAAGAGGACCCTCACTTCCATTGAACAGCCACCTATAATAGATTCCATTTAAAGTATACAACACAGACACACGTATCAACACACATCATGAATACATACAAGGTGTCAATAAGGGCATCATTAAGTCCGATTATATTGCATTAATAAAATTTCATACCTTTAGCGACACCCTGTGTATTGCTATTTAGCCTTAAACGAGGGGGGGGGGGGTGACTGATGTGGATACTGCAAGAGATACTCGCTGACAGTGCAGCAGGTACCTCCAGGATCAGGGTTCAGCTTGCACTGCTGTTGCCTATGTGGGGAATTGTGCGCTGCATAGATGGCTCCTGTTCTATAATCACAGATGCAAATTAAAACGGAATGAGGGCCCGTGTCTAAATCATTAATACAGCAGAAGCTGGGAGGCCCAAACCCCTGCCCTCCCCTCTGGCCTGCGCAGCCCAGTCCAGCCCAGCAAGGAATATAGGCAAGCAGAGGGTGCCTGCGATGCATATCAAATAAAAAGCATTTAATAAGGCAAAAGTAATAAAATCTGAAAAATATAACTAGGTGTGTGAAATAGTCATAAATACGAACAAGTTTTCTTATTAATTAAAAAAGTCCCCTCGTCATCATGCACGCTCAAGTCGGCCATTCTTACTCTTGGTTACCACGACAATGACAAGACGCCCCCCCCCCCAATACGTCAAACTCGAGAGCGAGTCTCTTTGTGCAAAAACAAAACGTTAAAACGGAACAAATTTGAGCGTTGCAGACCAGGTACGACTTAATTCCCTCCGCGTGGCAGTCATTGTTAGACGACCGACGCCGGAGTGCGATCCTACTACTGTGTGCGAGGGAAACAGCACCGTTTAACCAACCTCTACATTAACACTTTTTCATCGAAAATAAAAGACGCTTTTGCCACGCAGAATCTCTGTCATCGTCCCCCAGCTTGATGAAATAATATGCAGCCAAGAAAAATTAAAGTTAAGCAATGTCATATAGACCAAGTCCTCAAATGGCCATCGATCTGTAGCACTCACATGATCTAAAAACACACATATATTATATATTTAAAATACGACAGTTCAAAGTGTTTGTTACATTGTACGCGGTTTGTCTAAGATCAACTGATGTATAACTCTTCATTTATAAGTACTGTGTGGGTGTTTGCACTGCATGGAAATGATTCTGCAGGATGGATAAACCAATGTTGCTCGTGGACTGAAATCGAGAGCGATAATGCCGCGCTGTACACAACTCATTGTCGTGATACAGATTCACAGTTCAATTCAAGAAATGATTTTTGTTTTTAACATTCGCTGAACGTAGCGCCCCCCCCCCCCCCCAGTGGCTGGCTGGAGAGGGTCGCAGAAAAGGACGAATCTGAAAAACCCGTTACGCGCAAGCAATCCGTCGCACGACTTGTGAGCTCCAGGAATCGGTGGAGCCCCCCGCCGATGCGAATTTACAGAACCGACATGTTTGCAACACCAACCCACGTGGATTTACCTGAAGCACAGCGAGACAGGAAACTTTCCGGCTTTGCGTGTGCGACTCGCACACTTAGTCTGCTCTCGTCAAGAGCCAGCAACTATGCTCACGCGCGCGCACGCACGCCTAGTAAAGTGCAAAAATAGTGTGATGAATTAACCTGCTGGCACCGCGGCCGCCACTCCGTCGGCCACCGCGGCCGCCTCGACAGCGAGAGGCTGGTGACTCGTGCGAGGACAGAACCGGCTCCTCCGTGACGTTGTGCTCAACTTCCGGGGGTGGGAAAAACCCAAAAAACACGTTTACGTTGAAGTGCTGCAAAAAAAAATGACAACACTCCACGCTTTGGCCAGTGACGAGGTGGATGCATTAATACATGCTACGGGAATTCATTTTAGTATTTTGCATCCAGCCACCATTAGTCCTTCACCCACAGCGTCACGCTTACACGAGACCTATACGAGTTTTGTGCCGCACGAACGAGGTTCGCACGCTGTGCATATTTGAAAACGAGGCAAGATTAGTTTTTGATTCAAACAGAGTCTCATCAACAACGCGTGCTCTGTGAACCTGGCACTTTGATGATGTTATTGGTGGGGGGGTGGGGGGTGGGAGAGCAGCCGCGTGAAACGTGGGGGCGCCAAGCATGAGAAACACAAAGCTGCATCACCACGTGTACCGTCTGCTTCGGCTGAGGACGTAAAACACGACTGTCTTGAGAGCGTTGCGGTGTTGGCGTGCGATTGGGAACCCACGCGCTGAAGACGACGCCTCTCGTAAAACGCGACGCGGCCCTTTAACCCGACCCCGGCGACCTCCGGACACAGCGGCCGCGGCGGCCGCACGCGCGTTCACCCTTCGGCCGATTCCACCCGTTACTACGGCGACGTGGCAGCTTGGCCCTCGAGCTCAGCGGCCCCCGTCGCTGGCGGAGGAGGAGGACGTGGACGAGGCGGAGGAGGTGCAGTGGTAGCCGAGGATGCGCGTGCGGCAGTAGGGGCATTCGAGGGAGCGGGGGGCGCACTCCTCGCACAGCACGTAGTGCTGGCACGGCCGCAGCACGGCCCTGCGGGGGCGCTCCTCGCAGGCCAGGCACTGCCGCGCCTGCTGCTCCTGCATCGCCTGCGAGAAACATGCGAACACACACAGGCACACAACGCAATTACTGCCGTGCAGGTTCTTGCGGTGCCGCCGTCCGTACTGCTCCTCCCTCGACAGAACCACGCATTGGCACTTAGCTGCCGAACATAAAATAGCTGCCGTACGCAAGGCAAGAATAGAATAGCGCTCTTTCCCTCGTGCTTTTGGGTCGTGCCGCGTGTCGCTCCACGTGCCGGAAGCGCGTTCGGGAAGAAGCTCAACGACGCACGGCAACAACCCAAAAGCGTCCCCCTCTGGAGGAGGACCCCCACGTGACCCGTCTCTCCTGGAACGCCCCGGCAGACGCCGGCTCCCTTCAAAATCGCTCGTCACCCCCCACCGCCACGTACTTTCTCCAGCAGCTCCAGGTCGACCTCCAGCCGCGTCTTGAGAGCGCGCATGGCGGGCAGCGACAACATCTCCACGTCGGCGACGGCGTGGCGCGGGGCGGCTCGAGTCCCGGCACGCGCGCCGCCGAGCGGGGACGCGCCGGGCACGCCGAGGTGGGCCCCTCGCTCCCGCGGCGGCACGGCCTGCGGCTCGCCGTTGCCCGCCCGTGCCGTGCTCTGCGCCTCCTCCGCCGCCGCCTGACGCCGCCAAGCATCGTAGCTCTGCGGGAGAGAGACGCGCAAGCAGGAGGCGGCGTTGAACCCACGACACCCTGGGTGTGCGTGTGGGTGGGTGGGTGGTTGGAGGAGCAGAAAGGCAAACGGAAGCAGAGGAAGGTGATGGAAGGATGCGGAAAGCCTGCGGGAGGGAGAGGAAAGTGTGTGGGCACATAGAGAGGTGTAGGGAGGCTCAGGAAGGTCGAGAGACGTTAAGGAATGTGCAGGAAGAGGTTGAGGGATTTGCGGGGAGATGGCGAGCGGTGTAAAGAGGATCAGAGAGACCTCCAATCAGCGCGGTTGGCTATGTACAGTGCGAAAGACGTTCAACGTATATGGTAATACATGGTAAGAGAGTGAGAATAAAAAAATAGTATAAGTGTGCAAAGATGGAAGGAGGTAAAGGGAGGGGCAGGTAAGTGCACTGCATCATAGGTTGGTACAGGGACCCATATGGAGGAAGACCGCACACGGAAAAACGAATTTACAGGTGCCATGGGAAGACAGGAAAATACAGGAGGAAGAGAGAAACACACTTAAGATTATCAGGAGGCACGAGGAAGCACGCAGAGGGAGGGGGAGGTATGGGGGAACTAGAAGCTGGGGGACTTTGGAGGAGTACACGAGGCACACCTGCAAGAGGACAGGCTTTGACAACATCAACAACAGCCGCCATTAGCCAATAAGTATGATGTTGAACTTCGCACCGTATGTAGCCAAACATTCTAATCAGAGGTGTGGGGGAAGGATAAACTAGACACAAAAAGCAGTTCTAAATAAATTAGTTTTCAATCTACATTTAAAAGTGCATAGCTCCTGTGGAATCCTAAAATCGTAAGGAAGAGCGTTCCAGACGGCCGCAGAAGCGCACCTGAAAGCGTGCAAAGCGGTGACCATCTTTGTTCGATGGCCAGCCAAAAGCCACCGCTGTGAGGACGACCGGAGTTTGTAGTGATGATGATTTATGCTCCTTGACAAAGTCAGCAAGGTATTGTGGTTCATTTGTGGAAAGCAATTTGTGTGTAGTAAGTGTGACCTTATAAGTGATGGCGACATCACAACAGTGCTTACAGCCAGCGCTTGGTGCACTTGGAGGTCACGTGAAGTGGCCTCAAAATCTCGCTTCTAAATGTCACGGGACACACCGAGGAGCAATGGGTGAACCGCCAGAGCGGCGGTGGCTACGCTGCTGCACGCGGCAGCCTGTAACCCAGTGCTGTGAAGGCAGCAGCGAGGGATGGTGGATGACCGCACTGATGTCGTGAAGCTCCCTTCCCGTGGGCGTCGAGGAGGTGCCGTACCCTGGCTCGCCAGAAGGCAGTACAGGAAGCGGACTAATTGCCATCCGTTTCCATCTGTATGGGGATAGAGCGTGCTGCCCCCTCGTGTGCGTGGGTTTTCTCTGGGCGTTTTCAAACATTTACAAACTCATTAAGTGGCTGAAAACATCTTCAAATAAAAACCCAATGCAGGACCCCTCCTGATAGAGTACGATGACTCGGCTTGTGGCTCTCCCGGATAAATAAGCAAAACAAGTAAACCCGTAAAAACAAAGTTTTTCACTCTAAATCCTTTATATGCGTGGCGGCTAGAGTCCTCTCGTCCTCTGGCTTGAGATGGCTGCAATCTATGGGTCAGATGATTGTCTGCCAGCATTAAGCAATTGGTAATTAAATATTTAATTTGTTTTCCCTAAACAGTGTAAAATTTAGGAAAAACATTTTCACGAAAATTAATTGCCACACACGAGTCTGTGTGGAAAATGTCAGCTCGATTGGATCACGGGAAGTGGGTTAAAAAACGAGCAAAAGATTTGCGCGGTCCTAAGCAAGCAAGCGAACTTAATATAAAGGATTTAAAATATATTCGCCTGTGGAGGACGCGGGGATCGAGCCCGCGACCTTTGGCATGGGAAGCGAGGGCGCTACCAACTGCACTACTCCGCCACGGCCTGTGGAGGGGTTACGCTCTGGGCTCCTATACTGTGACGTTCAGCCAAAGCCATGAATGAGTTCTATTTGAATAAATGTAAAATAAATTTTTTTTGCCTAAAAAGTGTACAATTTTTGCTTTTTTTTTCACGAACATTAATTGTCTGTCACAACGAGTCTGTGTGGAAAATGTCAGCTCAATTGGATCACGGGAAGTGGGTTAAAAAACGACCAAAAGATTTGCACGGTCATAAGCAAGCAAGCAAGCACGCAAGCACGCAAGCAAGCAAGCAAGCGAACTTAATATAAAGGATTTAAAAAACTAAAAACCACCGAATGAAATGACCGAGTCTGGCGAAATACCTCCGCGTGGCGTCAGACGGGAACACTGTGATGGCGAGTCGCGAAAAGGCATCTCCGTCAAAGTGGGATGCACACAGCAGCCGGGAGGGGGCATACAACACGGGAAAGTCACCGTTTGGGGTTGGTGCCACAGTTCCTGAGAGGCGTCGCTCAGCCTCTGCTGCTGCTGCTGCTGCTGCTGGATGGTCACCCCCGCGGGCCCGGCACAGAACCTCGAGCTCAGCGGCCCACCCGTTGCAAACTGCTTCCAGCCGCCCGCCCCGTTGGCTGCGAGATGGAGGATGCGAGTGACAAGAGACGAAAAAACAAATTGCATCTTTAGCCGGGATGAAGAGCACTCTGTTAGAGAGTTTCTGCTCCGGCCAGCGGTGAACACGAGGCGTGTGTGTATTACCGTTCCGTGCATGAATGTACTGTACGTTACTCAGATTGTAAATGTTGTGGATTTGCTCTACAACACACCGGTGTACTGTACTGATAACGAATTGGCACGTTTTGTTTACGTGACAAACCTCACAAATTGGCTGTGTCGGGTAGTGGTGGGTTTAACGACACACTTATATTTACCTGATCTAACTGGAAAAAAAACCTGTATTAAGGATGTTGAGCTTTTTTCGCAACGTACGCAGCCAACCGTGATAATTGGAGGTGTGGGGGAAGGACAATGAAGGAAACACAAAGCAGTTATAAAGAAATACGTGTTCAATCTACATTATTTAAAAGTGCATAGCTCCAATGGCTTCCTAAGATCAGAAGGAAGAACGTTCCAGACGGCCGCGGAAGTGCATCTGAAAGCGCACGATGCGGTGACCGTCTTTGATGGATGGCTAGCCAAAAAGCTACTGCTGCGAGGATGACCGGAATTTGCGTGATGGTTTATGTTCCTTGATGCCATCAGCAAGGTATTGTGGTGAATTTGTGACAAGCACTTTGTGTGTAATGAGTGCGACCTCATAATGTATTACTCGGCAACCGGAAGCCAATGCAGGTCGGTGAGCACTGGACAGTCACAGTCAGATCCTGCAGTACCCATCATGACTTGTACCAAATGAATGTGATGGCTGGAGAGGTAGCTTAGTGGTTAACGCGATTCGTTTAGAACCAAGCGACCCGAGTTCGAATCCTACTCAAGGTCAAAATCGGTGGCAACTAGCTGAGTTGCTTCTGGGCCTCCCCCAGGTCGACTTAGCCTCAGATGAGTACCTGGCATGGTGTTGTGAGTGACTTCATACTGAAGCCATAGTAAAGATATTTCATCATGTATTTTTGCAAGCAACGAGATTCGGCAACCCGGAAAATCAAGAGCGAACCGTTCTCTTGGGAGCGAAACCCGCGAGCGAGCGAGGGCGCGAGTGCTTAGCTGAACACGCGCACTCACATGGATCACCGCCGATGACGTCCACGTGCAGATGCGAGTCGTGGATGGTGGGGAAGTGCTTGGGAGTGGTGGGCAGCGCGGGAAGGCCGGGCCGTGGCAGCTCTGGTCGCATCGCCAGCTGGGCTGTCGAGCGCTCGCCGTACAGCCTCTCCCCTGCGCAACGCGGCGACAGGGCAACATGGCGATGGGGCACAGCAATGGGCGGCACGAAATACGGCGAGGGGTGACACGGCGAGACGTGTCACCCCTCGCTGGCTGTCGCCTGATGATGCTGGTTGTTGTAATTACCGGCGAAACGTCACGGTACTCGAATTGTAAATGTTGTGGATTTACTCTCCAACACACAAGCGGTGTGCTGTACTAGCAACTAATTGGCATGCTTTGTTTATGTAACAAACCTTACTAATTGGCTATGTCGGGTGGTGGCGGGTTTAACGACACATTTATATTTATGCCATCTAACCCAAAAAAACCTCTGTTATGGATGAATGGAAGTTGCCAAACCCAGTTGCTCACCAAGGTGGTGCAGCAATCACAACTGTCCAAATTTGGGCAAGCACAACTTTTACAATGCCGGCAACGATTGCACTCCAAAACTGTTCTCATGTGTTGTGGCGAGATGTTAACTACCTCACCTGGTATACAGGAAGTCGCGGGTTCGATCCCGACCCTAACGCTTGCTGTATATTTGGAGTTTGCGTGGCTTTCTTCCCTTGGTTGGGTGGACTTTTTTCCTCTGGATCCTCCAGTTTTTCCCACCACATTTAGAAACTTGCATTTAAGAGTATTTGGCTGACAGAAAAGTCCACGTGATAAGCCAATTTGTTGGGCTATCATTTGTGGCCAGGTCGCTTCTGAGAAACATCTATATAGCTCAGTGGGCCTTGACCTCGTAAAATAAAAATAGTTTTAGTTAAGTTAACAATGGGCGTGGCCACGTTGGGACGCCCTTGCCGACGGGTGTGGGCCCGTACCGACGGCACCGGGAGAGCCAGTGCAGCGCAGGAGGCCGCTGCCACAGCCCAGGTCTCGCTCCAGCGCCGTCACGGAGTAGTCGTGGAGATCCAGGTCAGCCAGCGCCGAGCCTGCAGGAACATCGCGAGAGAGCAGACCTAGAGGGGCTTCTCTCAGGGCCACATCCTCACCTTCTACTCAGCACAATGGCGATGGTCGCATGAGTCAGCAGCATAGCGGTTGGGCTTTGCGATGTAGCAATCGGATTTTTTAACCACATGCCTTGCCGACAACAGTCGGTATGCGAGTGTGTGCATGTGCCGTGGGGAGCGGTAGTGTAGCAGTTAGCGTGCTGCGTTATGAGCCTGGTGACCCGAGTTCGATTCCCGCTCACGGCCAATACCATTGACGATTATCTGAACAGGTCCTGGGCCTCCCCTAGGTCGACTCAGCCACTGGGGAGACAAAGGCGGCCGGGCGTGGTGCTTTCCATTCACCCTATCGTGTATCGTTTCGGCCTTCATAGATCCTTGCTAAAAGTACTTGCCCCAACAGTCTGTTAAAAGCTATAGGGGGGATCTTTGTCTTTGACGTAGCCAAAGTGTTTCCTAAAATGTATTTTTAACCAAGCACAGGCTTATTTATGTTAAAACCTGCGCGGTCGTCAAAGTTCGCATTAAATCTCACCTTAAAAGGTGCGCTGCCGTTACATTTGACCATTGCAAGTGAAGTGTCTGAACAGCGTGATATTAGACACCGTGGGATTAACAGCCGAGGAGTGTTCGAAGCAACTGCTCCCCTGCCACGAACGCCAATTAGGAAGTAAAAGGCCATGCGGGAGGGCGTGTGGCACAGATTGGCGCCAGCTATCATAGAGTGTGGTGGTCGTGTCACTGCAGTTCTCTGCGGTGAGTACAACGTCTTTTAAAACAACGGCGCTATGCCTCTCTAAATCAAATGCGCGTTCGGAAAGTCGGCGACGAACGGGACACCCACTCTGCAACTTGCAGCCGTCTCGGAAAGGGGAAAAGGGTTAAGGCCTGCGCAGCGCATGCTGGGCTGATGCAGCAACACCACGTCCGAGTCGCTGGGGTTGCCAAGGACTCCAAGTTTCAGATCGGCTCGCAAACGCAGCCGGGCGATTAAGTGCGACCACAGCAACCGAGGCCCGAGATGAGCACCGAGCAAATCATCGCCAGACAGGGTGGCCGATCGATGGGATGGGTGACGGAAGAGCAGCTAAAGGAGAAAATGCGTTCAAAGATAGTGCCCGCCGCGGAAAGCAGAGCGACGGGATAGGTTCACGCGCAACCTCAGCGGGACGACTGGAAGCCCGCGCTGGACCACGAGGAGGGATGGCGACGGCGTAGGGAGGCCTTCCTCCAGCAGTGGATAGACAATGGCTGAAGATGACGAGCATGATAAGGATGACGAGTACTACGAGCGGGACTTGCACACGCGTGTGCCCCTCGTGGGCACACGCCCCCGCTACGCGTGGTAGCGCTTGGCTCCCCTCGCTGCCGGTTTCCTCCGCCGCGAGGGTTCTCAACGGTAGCGAAGCACTCACCGATGACCGAGTCGACGGTGCTGGAGGGCGGGTAGAAGGGCATGGCCTTGGCATTCATGGTGGAAGCGTTGGTGGGCAGCGGGTTAACGGTCGCGAAGGGCAGGCTGCCCCCTGTCGGGCAGCCCACGGGCAGCGCCCGCAAGAGGCTCTGCGACAAGATGGACAAGGTGCAGAGGAGACCGGTGAGGAAACACAGGGAGTGCGGAGGTGTGCAGCGGCTTGCGTACTCTACCACGAACCCGGTGACCTGAGTTTTATTCCTGCCCACAGCTGACATCATTGGCGAGTGACATACGGACCGATCGCGAGTTCCCCCTTCACCAACCTGCACTAACCAGCACGGTGAAGTTCGGTTAAACAATCCCCTCGACCCGACACGGTTTGAGCAGGCCTTGTTATGTATCCATGTTGAACTTCTTTCGCACCATACGTAACCCACCGTGCTAATCGGAAGTGCAGGGAAGGACAACAAACTAAACACAGCTGTAGATTGAAAAAGGGCTTTAAATATTTTTTGCAAGTAATATGCCCCCCTCCCCCCAAATATGGCCAGGCTGGATATCAGCCATCACAATTTCAATGCCCCTGTGGCTTGACAAGCCGAAAAACACAACCAATTACACAATCTCAACCCTAGGCTGCAACCCTCAAGATACTCTACACTGGTACGGCGATCGGGTCTGGAAGACCTGTGCAAGCAATCACGACCATTTGCTCATTGAAAGACAACTCATTTGAGCTCTAAAATGTACGAGGATGCCAAACGCCTCGTGTGAGGCTCTGCAAGAAAGCCTGCGACACGCGCAACCAGGAGGCGTCAACACCGTGCCAGGTCTCTCAGCCCAAAGAATGTCCAACGGGACAGCGATGCGACTCACGTGCGTGTTCTGGATGTCCTCCTGCTCCTGCAGGTTGCCACAGTAGGTGTGCTGCTCGTGCTGCTTCTGCAGCTTAGCCTGCCGGACGCAAAGTAACACACGCAAACAAATATAAAGTTCCCCCGTATAGCCTTTAACAGAATGTTCCGGCAAGTGCTTTTAAGCGAGCACCTATTATTCCGATAGTGGTGTCGCAGTGGGATAGCCCATTGCACCATGAACCCGGCGTCCCGAATTTAGATTCTTGCTCACGGCCAACATCGGTCGCGAGTATGTGAACAGGTCCTGGGCCTCCCCTAGGCCAACTCGGCCTTGAGCGAGTACCTGGTGCGGTGTGTGAATATCACAACTGGGGAGGTGTGGTGCTGATCACCCAGCCCGTGGGTGGCCACTGCCACCGTGAGTCACAAAAGTAAGGCGTGTCGGCTTGAACAGGCAATATGAATAAATTACACATTTATAAAGCGCCTTTCTACAAAAAAGGTATTCAGGGCACGGTGCGTCACCAAAACAAAAAATATAAATCACAGGCCATGGGTAGGAAAAACTAAGACGTATAGAAGCTAATGTAGAGAATCCAAAGCTGGAGAGAATAGACTTGTTCTTTGGGGCGGGGTTTAATCACCGTCGTTCTCTCTGAATCGTGAAAACGACTGGGCACGGTGCTCCACAGCCGGCAGGAGAGCAGAGAGCAGCCTTCCACCGTGACACAAGCACATGCGGATACGCAGCACAAAGATTCCCCATATAGCCTGTTACTGCACGTGGTTTATTATTCAAAAAAGTTTTTTTTGTTGTTGTTGGATTAGATCGCGTGAATGTAAATTGTCGTTAAACTCGCCACCACCCGACACAGCCAATTCGTTAGGTTGGTCACGTGGACAAAACGCACCAATTAGTTACTACTTCAGCACACCGGTGTGTTAAGAGAGTAAACCCACAACATTTACAATTTGAGTACCGTGACGTTTCGCTGGTGATAACAACAACCAGCCTCATCAGGCGATAACCTGTTATGGTCTTAAACAGAGGAGTAAAGGTGATGTCATTCCTGTGAGTCTATCAGGTGCTGAACTGATGACTAATTGGCAGGTTTTGTGCATGTGACAAACCTTAATAATTGGCTGCGGTTGAGTGGCGGCGGGTTTAAGAACACATTTATATTTACGTGATCCAACCCAAAAAAGACACTTTGTTATGGATAATATTGGTCGCGAAATCCTACGTGTTAAACCGGTTTATTATTAATATCACTGCTCTTGTTAATCCAGCTTTGTCGCGGAGTCTAAAGCCTCGTTTTCACAAGAATCCTGCCACATATTCGCAGTAGATGCTAGCGATGTTGCTGATGTGTATAATCCCACAGAGTAAATTAAAGGTAATTTTTCAGCAGACACGAATATGGAGCACAAGCAACTTATGCTGCCTGCGTTACGACACAGAGATAACGACACAATTTAATCTGGGCCTCTCGTTGTGATAAAAAAAACAGTTATCAGCTGCAGAGAATTCAAGATCTCAGCCCAGTCACAAATTACTGCACCAAAACACAACATATACAATTCAAACTTTATGATTTCAGTGACGTTCGTACATAAAGGACAGCCTATCACAGTGAGTAACTCTTGCAACGGAGACTCTGGGAGAGAAAAAAAAATATGTGACCCACAAGCATCGAAATTCAACAATTCCACAATGGATTAATTTGCGATCACAGAGCTCTAGGCGAAAGGAGGGAATTTTACTTCATACGCAGACGACCAAATGTTGATTCACAATTAGTTTCCCTTGGGTCAGATGGTGTCGGTAAGTCAATGTTTTTACTACCCGACAGAGCCAATCACATCAAATCGGATGTGCGAGGTAGGTAAGGAACTCATGGGCGACGCCACTTTCCCATGGCAGAGGTGGACGAGAGGTGGGAGGTGGGGGGGCAAGGCGCCTCTCACCTGGTCCTCGCGCTCGTAGCCCGGCGCTTTCTGGTAGCTGCAGGCCGCCGTCGGGGATAAAGACGCCACCAGCGGGCCAACCGCGACGGAGAGGGACGGCAACGGCGAGCGCAACGGGGGCGACGTCGCCGCGGGGGAGCCCGGGGGCTCTGCGGGGCCAAAGCCCCCGCCGCTGGACAGGCTCGGCGCGGGGGAGCCTCCGGAGCGTGACGGTGGAGAAGGTGAGGCAAGGCTCTGCCTGCTCGGGGCCTGTGGGGTGGGTAGAGGCATCAAGCGGAATGGAAGACGTTAATAACGTACAGTAATGTAATTAATGTTTTTTATAACTTCTTATTTTTATTACACGCCAACGTGAGCCCGATACAAGACGCCGGTCACCGAATTAAGGGGCGAGCGCTGGAGGGTTGGAAGAGATATTCCACGAGCAGCAGCTGCCCCGAGTTGGACGCAACAGGGCCCAGCGAGGGGGGAACACGGAGCTCACTGCCCCACCCAGGTGGGGGAGCACGTGCGGGGGCATGAACGTTTACATGGGAGGGGGAAAAGGGGTAAAGGGGAAGACAACTAACATACTGGGGGAATAAAAAAAGGGATGGGGGGGAGGGGGAGAGGGGGTAATGTATGTATGTATGTTGAACTTCGTAACCGTACATAGTCAAACGTGCTAATCGGAGGTGCGGGGGAACTAAACGCAAAAAGCAGTCATAAAAAAAATAGTTTTCAATCTAGATTTAAAAGTGCACAGCTCCCAGTGGCTGTCAGACGGCCGCAGAAGCGCATCTGAAAGCGCGCGACGCGACGACCATCTTTGCTTGATGGCTAGCCAAAAGCCGCTCGCGAGGATGACGTGATAGTTTATACTCCTTGACGACATCAGCAAGGTATTGTGGTTCATTTGTGGCAAGCACTTTGTGTGTAATGAAGACTCAAACGCAACAGTAGATTATGTTTGAGTCGTAATTAAACTAGCATTAGTCATGAGCAATCCACTGCTGGGTGAAGGCCTCCCTGGGCCTCCACTGTCGTGCCACGTGTCAAACACTCATTAATGATATTGGGTAAAAATAAACTGGCATCTCAATGACCAAAATTATTATTATATTATTATGACGCCAACCTAACCGTCAGCACAAAATTAAAACCATTATGAATCACAACACGGATGTGTGCGGCTGGACACTCACTTGCGCACAGATCAGAGCAGGTTCGGTAGAGTCTGCCAAGTGGACTTCTGCATGGACAGAAAACACAAATTGCAACATCCTGTTTCAATTAATTCAAATTACTTTGCATTCCACGCCATCGACAACAAACCTCGGAGAAGCTCTCGAACAAGTTTGCCAAAGAACTAAATATTTTGACGGTACGCATAAACACTTGCAATGCCTGGAAACAGAAAACGTAAACGCTTGCAGAAGGAACCGCGTTTCCATTGAACAAGCTGCCATTATCCAGGAATCCCGTCATTTGAAAAGGAGGATGTTGTGAGAGTAATATGCTGACTATTGTCTCTATTACGATGACCATTTTCTCTATACCTGTTGGAACCTGAACATGGAAATGTCGTCACTGTTAACAGACTACTGGAATGAAAGAGTGGACCGTCGCTCAACGCTATATTTAGACGACTTTGTATTCTGCGACCATCCTACTTTCACACAACTGAAAAGATCAAAGGCGGTGTGTGCGTTTCTCGATGCTTTAATCACATCGAGCCCCGACCAATTTTCATCGCCCGCGAGCAGCGGACAGCAAATCCCTCAACTCCACACACAAGATGACGGAGCCTCGCCTGCCGCCAGGCTTTTATCGGTCAGCCCCCAGCGTCACCCATGTCTATACTATTCAAGCCGTCTGTCCACCCAACAGTGGGCCACAATCAAACTTCGCTCACCCCGCTCCCATCACGTGCATTTCCCTTCCTGCCTGCGGCTGTCTGCACCGTTGACTCCCTCCTCCCATTGACTTCAAGACTAAAGACGCTGCCTCCCCTCGAAGCCTGGTGTCAATTATCTTCCCGACTCCCCACCACCCCCACCATTTGCTGATCCTCAATAAATTAATATTAAATTTTTACGTGTCAATATCGCCTTCAATAAAGTAGGAATTAGCACATATTACAGCAGAAAGGGAATGGCACAAGGGCATGGAACAGCAAGAATGAAAAAGCCCATCACGACCTCAGCGGCTAACACCGACTAAGCAAAATAAAGTTCAACCACGCGCAAAATTAAGTGCCACCGCGCGCAACAAATAAACAGCGGTAGAAATGGGTGTGCCAAATAAAATAAATAATAATTAGAGAAACCATTTTTATATTTTATTTTATGGGAAGGTGAGACGGAACAGATTTGTCTTGCACAGATGGTAGAGCCGTTTCACCAGATCCACTCTATCAGAATTTCCACTTTGTACCTATCGCCGCAAATCCCTGTAGCAGGGAAATGCTACTGCCACTAAACAAACGCCGATTACTTCCAGGCATTCCGTGGGCTGAGCAAGTCAATGCACAACAGTGAAGAAAAATTGCCGTCTCACAGTCAACTTTACTCGGTGCCCAAAATGTAAGCGCTTCCGTTCGAGATGTAAAATAAACAATCTTGCACCAGTAGCAACGATTAAATTATGCCTATTGTACCTTGGTAATGTAAACTCGCGGTCCGCGCATGCAACTCACGGTCTAGGTGTGCAAAGGCGCAGAAGGGGCCACGGGGACAGAAGGCGAGTTGCTGCATGTCGTTACATTTCGTCGACTTGTAAATCTGTAATTACAAAACATCACAGTTGTCGTTTCAGGAGAACCGCCGATATGCACACGAAACGAGAAAGAACCTGGGCAACAAATGCAATGAACCACAGGAGGAGCCCTGCTTAAATACGTTCAAGAACAGTAAGCAAACCATTATCAAGACTCGACGAACTTTAAACAGATTTTTGACGAACTTTAAACAAGATTATTGACTGTAAATTAGAGGGGCTGAACATTGGACACAGTCTATTTACCCTGCTGGGTCGACTTGTGTGTGCCTAATGATGATGTAATCGCTGCCACCATGAGTCACTATTACTGATGATGATGATCATGATCATGATGATGTTATAGAGCAGTGCTTCTCAAAGTGGTTGTCCCCAGACCACCGGTGGTCACGTGACGCTCCTCCAGGTGGTCCCCGGTGGGCTGTGATGCAAACGCAGGTTGATCCGGAAACAATGACAACTTTATACCACTTGCTTCTGACATTACATTTATATTTTACTTCTGATATTTAATAAAAGAAGATCTAAATGCCACTGCCCACCCCCTAAAAATAACCCTTATAACTGCATTAAAAAAATGTTATGTTCTGGTAATATTAATCATTTTATATGAGTGGTATTTAGAGAGATGAGTGAATACTTTGTGTCACCAGGGGTGTGCATGGCTGGGTGATTCGCGGAAATGTTTGCATCGGGCCGAGTGATCCGTGGGCCACAAAAAAGTTGGAGAAACACCGATCTAGATTAATGATAATGATAATGAAGACGATGATGACGATGAACACAATGAAGATGATTACGACAATGACGACGATGACAATGACGACGATGACAATGACGATGATGACAATTAAGATAACAAAGGTGGTAATGGATGAAGCCAAAATACGAGGGTGGCTGTCGTCATCGCCAATAGCATCGTCACTGGGCATGAGAGTTGACCAGGGTGAAACTCTCAAGCCAACTGGAGGTGGTGAGATTGTGTGGGCTGACCCAGGCTGAATGGTTATCGACTTTGCAAGACCTGCGGGATCTAGTTGATAGAAAGAGGGCATCCAGAACTGTTTGAGATATCACTCGCTACTGGTGTTACCCTGAGCGCAGTGCTCTAACCACTGCACCAATGCTCCGACCGCAGCCTTCCGTACGCGGTAGCGAGGAGCAGCGAGTGGCACGTGAGAGGCGGGATGTTAACTACCTCGCCTGGTATGCAAGAGGTCATGGGTTCGATCCCGAACCTGACGCCTGGATATTTGGAGATCGCATGCTCTCCCCGTGGACGTCTAGATTTTTTTCCAGGCCCTCCGGTTTTTCCCTCCACATTTAGAATCAACACGCGTTTAGAGTAGTTGGCTGCTAGAAAATTCCACACGATAAGCCATTTTGTGGAGCTATCATTTGTGGGCAGGTCGCTTCTGAAATAGAGCTTTATAGCTTAGTTGAGCCTTGCCTGTTTATAAAAAGAAAAAAACAGTTTTTTAGTTTATTGGGGGTGTGCGTGTCACCTCGGGGTGGAACTGTTGCTCGGGGCGCGTGTGCGAGAATTGGCAATCGTCCCCGACCTCGCACTTGTCAGGCTCACACCAGTCCTCCCCCTGCTTCACGCTGGGGCACGGCACAGACCTGCGGCGGCAACAGCAATGGACCGAGTGACGCGGATGCCTCGCGGTTTTTGAGATTCCCGATCGGTGATAACAATATACTGTCCCTTGTCAAAATCGGCTGCTGGATGAAGGAATCCTCACGGGTCAGCGGAGGCTGGTGAAGTCGAGGCCCAGGAGCGAGTTCAGCTGTCGCTTGGCCGTGGCCGGGAATCACACTCGCGTCGCCAGGTTCATAACGCGGTGCGCTAACCACTGTGCCACCGTTCGCACCGAAATTAGCTCTCGAAAACACTCAAGTCTGTCGTGACTGATAGAGCGAGGAGGCTATCGGCACGATTCCACTCTCCCGCCATGAGCTCATGAGCAGCAAAGCAGCTGGTTCTGTGCCAGATATTTCGGGATATTTCGGGAACTACGCTATTCCACTACTTACAAGCCACCGATGTATATACACCTGCTTAAATAAATAATCAAACATTTCGAAAAACAAATTTACTGGAATTTTTCAAATGTTTTTCAATATTTCTGGTATGGTCTGTCCAACGCTTGCTTGAGTTGAGTAGTCAGTGTGCATGTTCACGATGAGTCGGTGTGCTACCCTCTGCCGCCCAACACATAGCCCCTCAGCCTACAATACCTGTTATCCATGGTGCTCACCCTTCCAGGAAATATCCAAGCTCAACTCTGCTTAGCTTCCAAGATCTGAGATTAAGTGCATTCTGGGTTACATGGTCAAAGGCCAAGCATCTCGTACATCATCTAATATTAACACCAGATGAGAGCCCAATGAAACAGCAGCCCTCTAATTAACAGACTTGAAGCAGATAATATAAAAAGGTACGAGTAAGGTCGAAAAAAATCTACACGGAACAAAAATTATAAGCATGCAAAAAGTGCAATTGCATCTAGGCGAGGTACCGAGTCACCGTGTGCCGTGCAGGGACAGCTGCCACTGGGGGGAGGGTGCCCTTTCAAATGTGTCGAGATGACATGTGCCGTTATTAGTTGATCGCCTGTGCAACGCTGCGAGATGCCCGGTGCAAAGGGTCGCCCTATCATGCAAACAGGCGATGATTCACAATTACGTATGTATTGTAACGGACTGACACTGGCACGCTTCACACTGGAGAGGCGTGTACATGCCCGTGTGCGTCTTCCCGTACTCACCGGTACTTGTGCAGCCGCGGGCTGCGCCGGCGGTCGCGGCTCGAGTGGAAGTAGGGGCACGCGTAGCCCTGGCGGCACAGGCGCGGGGGCTTCTTGCACGGATCCGTCTTGTAGTTCGCCAGCACAAAGTTGGAGTCTGTCACGGTAAAATAACATTTATTTGTATTCTTGGTTCTTTCGGTAAAGCGACGAAGAAGGGAAATAATAAAAAGAAAACAATAAAATTCTCACGACGTTTCGTCGTTTTTTCACACCTGATGATGATTGCTTGTGTTGCAATCGAAACATCGTGAGAAGTTTATTGTTTTATTTTTATTATTTTATTATTTCTCTTCTACGTGACTATATCGAAAGAACCAAGAATATGAATCCCTGCAGTCACGAAAGCTTTAAATCGAAATTTTTAAGATTAATTTTACTTACTTCACCCTTTCCCATTCCGATGACGCACGTGTACGTCATCAGTTTTTTGCGTTCCAATGACGTACGACGTGTACATCAATGGCACGGAATTGGAAAGTAAAAGGCCATGCGGAAGGGCATGTGGCACAGTCTGGCACCAGCTATCAGAGTGCGATCGTGTCGCTACGCTTCTCTGCGGTGAGTACAATGCCATTAGAATAGTGGCGCTACGCCTCCCGAAATAAAATTAAAACTAACCGCTTTCACGTTCAAAGATTCAGCGGTGAATGGGAATCACCCTGCAACTTGCCAAGATCACGCAACAGTTTATAATTTGTCAAGGAGAGCCACACAGAGTCGTAAGACTAAATCAGGAGGTGCCTGCTACATTGGGTTTTTATATTAAGATGCTCTTCAGCCAATTAATGATTGTTTACAAGTGGGAGGAATCTGGAGCGCCCAGAGAAAACCCACACCTTGAACAAGGAGGGCAATACTCAATCCCCATACAGATGGAAAGAGATGTAAATTAATCCACTTGCTGTACTGCCGTCTCCTAGCATGCCAGGGCAAGGTATCTCGACGCCCACAAGGAGGGAGTTTTACAACATCTGAACAACCCACCAACCCTCGCTGCCTCCACAGTGCCAGATTACAGGCCATGCGTAGCAGTGGCGGTGCAAGATAATATTGTTACTTGTATCTATTATATTTTCTCAAGAGTAAAATTGTGAATGTACAAGGATTCTGCAATTCTTTCCAACATGTGGATTAATTTAATTGGCAGTATGCAAACAGATGGATATATGTCAGGGTAAACATTCATTTGCATAATTTAAAAAAGTTATTTTTTATCTTGTTTACGTCTCCAAGTTTTGGACAACCATTGATAATTTTGGCCCATTTTCAATCGGACCAGTCTCTAATTACAACACAACTTCATACAAAAGGTTTGTTTATCTTGCATAACCGTTACGAGACTGACAGCGCCCACCCGGTTAGAGGCCGAAGGAGAGCGCCGACGTGTGTCGGAACGCGTTTCAGGATCCATGCATACGCACGTTTACGGTTTTCATATTTCTAGAGAGAGACGAGAAGAGAGGGAGGGGTGCATGGTCTGACCCTGCCAGCGCTGGTCCTCCCCCAGGGCCCGCTCGATCATGGTCTGGCTGGCAGCCACCGACAACAGCTCGGAGCCCACCTCCCCTCCGGCGGAATGGCCGTTCTGCGCCGCCTCCTGGGCCTGCAGATCCCTGCACGCCCCAGCGCACAGCACGAGCATGCCCATCGTCATCGCCGTCGTCGTCATCATCGTCGTCGTGGTCGCCATCATCGTCGCCGTCATCGTTACCGTCATCATCATCATCATCACCATAGTCGTCATCACCATCATAGTCGTCATCACCATCATAGTTGTCATCACCATCAGTCATCATAGTCGTCATCTAAGGTTTATACAGAGCTGGATGAAGGCTTTCCCAAGCCTCCTTTGCCATCCCTCAGTCAGGCAATGCAAAAATGTCTCCACGAGACATCTCTGTCATCCATGCACTCCCAATATAAGGAGGACAAGGACCAATATAGGCAGGACATAATTAAATGACATTAATCATATTTAACTTACGACAAATACGGGAATTGTCATTTCTTCAGAGGTAAACCATTGGGTGAAGCTTTCATTTTGGTAGTGTAAACAAGATAGTTTTTTTTATGATCAGTTGAGACCTACGCAGACCTATCACTATCACCAGCCATAACCTATAACATTGGGGAAAATATAAAATTGTATTTTAAAAGAGCAGTGCGCGAGAGAGTAGCTCGCTTGAGCACATCTGGACAGCGTGACACCATGGCTAGAATGTTTGTTTCAGCAATGATGGCCCATCGGCGGGGTGTTGTCCGCACAGGTTCTGCTGAACAAAAGGCTTGTGCCGAGACAGAGCGAACACAGAAGACAAAGATCCCCCATATGGCCTTTAACAGACGCTGAATTAGCGAGCACCTATGAAGGCCGGCACGGCACACGAGGGGGTGGGTAGCCAACACCACGCCCATCTCCCCAATAGCGGATGTTTACACACCGCACCAGGTGTGTCTCGCTTAATGAGAGAGATGCGTTCCCGTGAAATTTGCTCCGTTCGGGAAAACTCGTTAAACGATCACCGTTTTCCCATTGACTCCTTTGTTAAAAGCCGAGTTGCGTTTCAGCCCCAAAAAATGTCCACTCTTGAACGCATTTTTTTCCCATGAGAAATACAAATTCTAATTTCAAAATAGAGGAATAAAACATCAAATTTAACACCACACATTAAGAACCACAGTACTTATACCGTTTCAATACTTATACGGTTTATCCATATTCTCGTACAGGGAAATAGATTTTTCAGCTCCATGCGGTGTACAGCCGTTTCAATACGGGCAAACATATATATTTGTCTATTTGAGAATAGGTTTTCCCCTTTTTTCTGGCAACAAAACAAGTGTTAAGATAGTAATAGGTTTTTACCCTTTCAACTGGTACAAAACTGACACCTTTATACAAGGCATCATGTTTGCAATAACCACAACACAAGCAGTCAAAATGCAAACAAAAAGAAACAACTCTGATAATGATATGCACTGTCCTTGAAGTTGATTGGTCCACACCCGAGACAGCTTTTCTTAAGAGCCTAGTCTCCATTGGTGTTGTTTCTTTTTGTTTGCATTTTGACTGCTTGTGTTGTGGTTATTGCAAACATGATGCCTTGTATAAAGGTGTCAGTTTTGTACCAGTTGAAAGGGTAAACACCTACTACTATATTTTGCCACTGGTAAATGAAGTCTCATAGGTGTTAAGATGTTAAAACACCAAACTGAAACCTTTTACAAGGAATCATGTCTGCATTAACCACAATGCTTGTGGTCAGAATGCAAACAAAAAACATACTCTTAGAGCAGTGGTTCTTAACCTGGGTTCGATCGAACCCCAGGGGTTCGGAGAGTCAGTCTCAGGGGTTCGGTGGAGGTTAAGACACACAACCGACTCATATGATTGTGCACCAGTAAAACATATATATATGTTTTGAATTTGAAAAAATCATATTTTATTTTTACAATTAAGAAGGGTTCGGTGAATGCGCATATGAAACTGGTGGGGTTCGGTACCTCCAAAAAGGTTAAGAACCACTGTCTTAGAGTATATACACTGCTCACCCCGAGCTCTCATTACTCTGATAGAGCGTTTCTTTGAGCTGTATGCCTTTTGGCGTCCTCTGGTCTAACACCGTTTGAGACTAGGCTCAAAAGAAAGCCGTCTCTGGTGTGGACCAATCAGATTCAAAGACAATGCATATATTATCAGAGTATGTTTTTTGTTTGCATTTTGACCACTAGTATATGTGGTTAATGCAGACCTGATTCCTTGTAAAAGGTTTCAGTTTGGTGTTTTAACATCTTAACACCTATTTTGTTGCCAGAAAATAAGGGGAAAACCTATTCTCATATTTTGATACTGGTAAAGGATGTCCCATGAGGTTTTTGTCTATTTGTTTGTGTTTATCCCTTGTGATGGGACTTTGTAGAAAGAACGTTGAGATATAGAAGGGCACGGGATGACCAATAAAGTCTGTATAAGGTGGGCACTGATAAGGAGTTGATAGGTATGCTGTCCTCAGCACCTGCAATTAATTAGCGCCACCCCACTCCACCCCTCCCCCACGAATCATGAGTGCCACCACGAGGCCCCCCTCCTCAATACAACGAATAACACACGCGCACACGCAGCACAACTGGTAAACAGCTGTGGGCCGCGGTGCGCCCCCTGCCGCCACGGAAATGCATTCGATCGATCAGTCTCCGCTCGTTACGCGAACGTTCGCTCATTTGGCAAACAAATTGGTCTCAATTCAAATTGCTCGTCATAGCGAATTCTCGGAGAAAGAACGCTTGTTAAGCGACACACGCCTGTACTCAATTGAGGCCGAGTCGACCTAGGGGAGGCCCAGCACCAGTTCAAATAATCACCATTATTATTGGTTGCGCTGCGGGAATCGAATTCTTGTCGCCGGGTTCTTCGCGCCCTAACCGCGACAACTACCGCTCCTCCCCCAAGCGAGTTGCGTTGCCATTCGACTCGCGCGTGCGTGGTACCGGATGTCATAGACGGCAGGGCGCAGGTCCTGTGGGCCGTGCGCGAAGGCGCAGTGCACCCCGTTCTTGACGCAGTGGCCGCGTGCGTCCGTCTCGTGAATGCAGCTGCTCGTCTTGTAGTAGCGCAGGTGGTAGCGCCGCTCTGTGTCGCCCGTCGAGCGGTGCAGGTACTGGCACCTGTCGGGTTGCAAGGGGGAAGAGTCGTAGGTAGACGCTTATCAAACAGCAGTGGTTCTCAACATTTTTTTGGCTACAGCAACCCCCTTGTTGAATTTTGTTTCAATCGTGTAGTCCCTTGCCTGACCCAACCAAGGTTCTGAGAAATAAACGTACGAATGAACATCAATATTTTAACCAATTGTCCATTTTGTGAGATATCCTAACTAGTGAGTAACTGTAAGCGAATTTAAACATTTAACGGACTGCTCTGCATGCATGACATAATTTGTTCCCGCTCGCTGCTTACTCTTGGAAACCACATTGTTTACGATCAATGAGTTTATAAAGGTCTTTAATATCGTTATAGGTTACCATGTGGATTAAAATTTTAATCGTAATGTTTTAATATTGGCAGATTCATACATGTTTATTCATCAATGACTCTCACGTATGATATAATTTCACATATTTATAAATCACCTCTCGTACCCCCTGGGGTGCGAGTACCCTGGTTGAGAACCTCTGGTGTAGAGCACGGGTGGGAAACCATTTCATACGACTTAAACGGCTTTGGTGAGCCACTCTACATTCACGAAGACACAGATCTCCCGTATAGGATTTAACAGACTGTTAGGGCAATTAGCGAGCACTTATGAAAGCCGGCATGACACACGAGGGGGTGGGTGGCTATTACCACGCTCAGCCACCTTTGTCTCCCTAGTGGTGAAGTTTACACATTGCACCAGGTACTCATTTGAGGGGAAGTCGACCTCCGGGAGGCTCACAGTTCAGATAACCGTCACAGGTGTTGGCCGTGAGCGGGAATCAAACTCATGTTGCCGGATTCGTAGTGCAGCGCGCTCACCGCGACACGAACGCTCCCACATATTACGCACACACAACCCTTAAAGTTAAACAGTCATAACGTCAAAAAATTACACGCATGATCACGGAGAAGACCCATATCTTAAAGAGAGGGTCCTTGCCTTTTCATACATGTCAACCCCAAAGCGTTCAAGTCAGTGAGACCCCCACCCCCCTAATGAACAACTTTGGGGGGAAAACTCAAGAATTTGAAGTCACAGGAACATTTTAACTGTCATGTAACCAAGGGCATGTCTACTTGTTGAGAAAAGAAATACACATTGCTTCCAGGTAAACAATACTCCCCTCTGGCACCCTGATTTACTGCAGTTAAGATACTAATAGTGTTGGATAACTTTTGTTTGCAGGTTGTTTCGAAGTGATCGGCCTCATGTGGCCGTGGTACCTATGAAACGTCCGACCTGCGGGCCATAGATTTCCCATCCCTAATGTAGACTAAGGGTTTAACATAAAGCAATCTATAAAGTAACTGCCTTCCAAATCATTTTTTTTATCGGGGGTTGGTATAGCTTCGAATTTAAAGTCCAATGACGTGTGCCTTTCTTTGCTTGTGGAAACAAACAGGAATGCCCAGAGATAAAAGCCACACAAACGAGGGGAGAACGCAAACGCTGCTAATCGACGATGTTGCAAGTTTAACAACGCACACGCGTGTGCACACGTGCAACGAGCAGCGGCATTTCAGGACCTTCCCAAGTAAAGACGTGAAGCACATCGTTGCACAGTCAGGATGGAGCGCTAAGCTGCTAATGCTGCAGAAGTCTTCATAAACAGCAGAGGCAAACAGTTCAGACCACTTTCTAGTGGAAGCAAAAGACCCTGCAGCAACCCTTTACGAGAGCGGAGAACGAGCCGTAGGATTTGGTGCCAAATCAACGAGAGGATTTCCTTTGCGAGGGAATGGCTTACAAGTAGATGTGTGGGCTGGGCATCTGTGAAAACAAACCTTGCTTGGCCAAACAGAAACCACAAGGCGAAGAATATTCTACGTGCATGGTTTGGGACTGATGTTCCACGGCTGGTTTGGCAGATAATGTTGTAAGAGTTAGCAGGTCTTACATTCGGTAATTAATACACGTCAAGTCAAATTCAAGGTGTCTTAATGTAACAAAAACATAAAAGTTACTCTTTGCAACATAAAATAGTTGAAACAGCACACGAGCTTGGAGCATATATATAAGCTGGGCGCATTGACAAAGGAATTTGCATATCAAGATGAATTTAGCATATTCATGGGAAATGCAGGAATGTGATTGGTACTGCATATGCATGTGCATTATGCAGGATTAACAGCATCAAAGGGAGCTACAGTTGCTGCTGCTGCTGCAGTTGCTGCTGCTGCTGCAGTTGCTGCTGCTGCAGTTGCTGCTGCTGCTGCAGTTGCTGCTGCTGCTGTAGTTTCTGCTGCTGCTGTTGCTGCTACTGCTGCTGTAGTTGCTGCTGCTGCTGCTGCTGCAGTTGCTGCTGCTGCTGCAGTTGCTGCCTTATCCATTTTTAATATAACACTATGTATTATTCTACCCACCTTAATCTGTATAACACTGCTATATATTTACTATACAATTACGACACCATACATTACTCTGCATACTGCACCATGCCAGTGAGTGGAACGCGGTCTGAAAGTCACCGTAAACGTGAACACAATCAGTTAAGATCCGAAATGGTTTATTACGTCCTTCCAATGATTGCTAAGCCAGAATCCATCTTCTCGGTTAAAATTGTCTCTGTGCTTGTATATGTGGATAGCCTCATGAACGAATCTCTCATGATAGCCAGATGGCTTGCAGAGAACCTCTGTCTTGGAGAAGTCAATGTCATGTGAGCCCACTGAGTTGTAACAGTGATCTGCCACGGCTGAGGTGTTTGTCCTACCGTGTTTCAGGTCTGCTTTATGTTCACGGATGCGGTCCGAGACATGTCGTTTGGTTTCCCCAATGTAACTGCTACCACAGAGGCAACTTAGTTTGTAGACGCCAGGGTACTGTATGTCTGGAACCACATCTTTTACAGACAAAGATGTGGTTCCAGACATACAGTACCCTGGCGTCTACAAACTAAGTTGCCTCTGTGGTAGCAGTTACATTGGGGAAACCAAACGACATGTCTCGGACCGCATCCGTGAACATAAAGCAGACCTGAAACACGGTAGGACAAACACCTCAGCCGTGGCAGATCACTGTTACAACTCAGTGGGCTCACATGACATTGACTTCTCCAAGACAGAGGTTCTCTGCAAGCCATCTGGCTATCATGAGAGATTCGTTCATGAGGCGATCCACATATACAAACACAGAGACAATTTTAACCGAGAAGATGGATTCTGGCTTAGCAATCATTGGAAGGACGTAATAAACCATTTCGGATCTTAACTGATTGTGTTCACGTTTACGGTGACTTTCAGACCGCGTTCCACTCACTGGCATGGTGCAGTATGCAGAGTAATGTATGGTGTCGTAATTGTATAGTAAATATATAGCAGTGTTATACACATTAAGGTGGGTAGAATAATACATAGTGTTATATTAAAAATGGATAAGGCAGCAACTGCAGCAGCAGCAACTGCAGCAGCAGCAGCAGCAGCAACTACAGCAGCAGTAGCAGCAACAGCAGCAGCAGAAACTACAGCAGCAGCAGCAACTGCAGCAGCAGCAGCAACTGCAGCAGCAGCAACTGCAGCAGCAGCAGCAACTGCAGCAGCAGCAGCAGCAACTGTAGCTCCCTTTGATGCTGTTAATCCTGCATAATGCACATGCATATGCAGTACCAATCACATTCCTGCATTTCCCATGAATATGCTAAATTCATCTTGATATGCAAATTCCTTTGTCAATGCGCCCAGCTTATATATATGCTCCAAGCTCGTGTGCTGTTTCATTCAGACTCTGTCGCCTCGACGGACCTGGTTTTCACCTGAGGACGGCTGCTTGCGTTGTGGCCGAAACGTCGTGAGAATTATTTTATTATGTTTTATTTTTATTATTTTATTACTTCCCTTCTACGTGACTTTACCGAAAGAACCAAGAAGATGAATCCCTGCAGTCACGAAAGCTTTAAATCGAAAAATAAAATAGTTGCCCGAGGGGTCTGCATACCCCCGGTTGGCCGATGCTGTTTCTAGTCACATACTTGAGTACCCTATTGTATATGTAAGAAAATAGATAAGCAGACAATAAAATAACAGAAATCCTCACAACCCACCAGGCCCACTGCCTTCTTGGCACACAATCTCAGCAGCATTGTTGCAATACTTGCAAACTCTGGACCGGTTGAACATGCAGTACAATAATCAGCATTACAGGCAGTCATCGACTTATGCACACTCGACTTACGAATACCCGCACTTCCAAACCAGCTTCCATAAAATGTGTTTTTTTACCATTGAGAGAAAAAAAGAAGCAAACTCGCACTTGCAAACGGAACCACAAAATTATTTTGTTCCGCGATTCTCCATGAGATGTAAGGCGTCGGCCTCGTGCTGGGAGTGAGCGGTCGTGTGTATGGGCATTGAAATACAGGCCATTATCGTGTTCCGACCGTTCGACTTACGAACGGGTCTCATGAAGAAATTATGGTCGTAAGTCGCGGACTCAAAAGCAATTCTGATTGTTTTGTGTTATGTATTATATCATTTGGTGTCCAACCAGGACCCATATCTTGAAGAGGGTTCCCTAGCCTGTTCATAAATGTCAACCTCAACAGCGTCCAAATCAGCGAGATCCTCACCGAAAAAGGCAACTGTCACGTAGAGAAGGGCGAGTGCACTTATTTGGAAAAGAGGGTAAGCGGGGGGCGCGGTTACAAAGTGAGTAATGTGTAGCAGCAATAAGGAGTTAAATGTTGAGCACTTAGTGAACACCCTGTCCCAATCGTAAAAAAATATATAATAATCTTAGAAAGTTGCAAGTAGTTTCCAGTTTTTTTCACAAGAATTCTGCAAGCGAAGACAAAACGTTTAGACACGACACTTGCACATTAGACCTGAACTTGTTGGCATCTTCTGCAGGTACACTGCAATCAATAAGAGCCGAGTGAATGGCTCACAGATAAACAACAAATACCATCATAATCCATTGCACAGCCGTGAGACACTCAAAATATAAAAACACCACGAGTCTCAAGGGCAGTGCTTGGACAATACTTGAGACTTAAAATGTGTGCCCGTTACATCTGTATGTATGCAGAACTTCTTTCGCGCCATACGTAGCCAACTGCGCTAATCGGATGTGCGGGGGAAGAACCACAACTAAAACACAAAAAGCATAATTAATTATCCATTAATCCATCAAAAGCACGCGTTGAGATGCATGTAGATGATGCGGTGCCGCTTTGTTCTCAGTGTACTGACTGGATGTTCCATGCAAAGAACGCGTCATTAGATCCACTCTCTTGGGCATGCTTGGACCCCGATCCAGATTTGGACGTCTAGTTAGGCCAGCGCATCACGGCCTGGCAAAGGCTCGGCATGGCAAAGAGCCATTGAAAAACCACCCGTGCCGTGAGGGCCACGTGCCGGCTTGCACGTGCCAGCGGAGAACGGGGCACAAGACGTGGAGAACCGCATCAAGGGGAGGTATTATGTTGAATTTCGTTCACACCATACATAGCTAATGCGAGGTGTGGGGAAGGACAACTGAACACAAAAAGCAATCCGAAAGAAACGAGTTTGTCAATCTCGATGATTTAAAAGTTCATAGCTCCAGCGGCTTCCTAATATCCGTCGGAAGTGTTCCAGACGACCGCAGAAGCGCATCTGAAAGTGCCGAGCGACTCGGTGACCGTGTTTGGGGTGATACAGAGGGACGCCAGTGACTCACTCATCGCCGTCCAGGCAGACCCCCGTGGTCTCGTCGTACTTGCTGCAGTAAACGTCTGGGCTGTAGTTGAAGGTGCCGTCGCGCCGGCGAATTGGCCGGCGCCGCCGCTGGTTCAGGAAGTGCCAGTGGAAGCAGGTGTAGGGCCGGTGCTGCGTGCACTTGTGCTGCAGGAAGAGCGAGCACTGCTCCGTGCGGAACTCCTTCAGGTACCTGGGCGGAGAGGGGGTCCCCAGGGTGGTGGACGGTCGTCAGTGACGGCACAAAAAAACACACCGTTAGAAAATTTGCGTGTTCTGCACATAATTAGGATAAAATGTTATATCTGAAGATTTTTAATATATGAGTTGGACTGTCATGCTAAGGACATTACTCTCACTGGTGGGCAGATGAGAAAGCGCGACACCATATACTTGCATACAACTCACAGCCACAACTTGCTATGAATATATTGTTCTACTGTATCATTTTTTTTTACATTTAATGATGTGATGGCACTTTTTGTGGCAGATCTGTGCCAAAAAGGCACCACATGTTAACCAATAATAAGAAAAAATTGGCTTGACTTTATGTACCGTGTAAGACCAACCATCCAAAGTCGTGTGAAAAGGATCTCAGAGGTAGCTGTGTAATCTCCTTCTGCGGGCTGTTTTATAATACGGGTTGACCTTTCAAGAGTTCAAATTAGACACGTCTCAATCTTGATTTGAAGCTTTCGTGACTGCAGGAATCCAAACTCTTTGGTTCTTTTGGTAAAGTCACGTAGTTATTTTATTTTATTTGATACCTATGTCACTTTACCGAAAGAACCAAATAGTACACTTCGTCTCGTGACACAGATTGAAGTTAAATTGGAATACAGGCAAACATATTTAATTACTAAAACATTAACTGCTAACAAAAGTGAAAACATGATAGTGAAACAATAAGTTTGAACCCCTTGTCAGTCCACTGCTAAATTACGGCCTGCTGTCAGTCGAGATGTCACTTTACCATACTTCACCACGCTGGTCAAAGTAGTATGGTGAAGGCAAGATGACATGGGCGCATAGAAATACCTTACAACAGTGCCCGCCCTCCTGAAGCCCACCGCGTATCCCCACACTAGACGGTCTCCCATCCACGCACTATCCAGGCTCAAGCCTGCTTAGCTTCACGAGATCGGGCGCATTGCTGGCGATTTTGACATAACCTCGTAGTACCTACCAATATACTGACATGAACTTAGCAGGCACAAAACCAACACAACACACACAGTTACACACAACAACACACACAGTTACACACAACACACACAGTACACAAAACAGACAACCCACAGTTACACAACACACACAGTTACACGCAACACACAGTTACACACATCACACAGTTACACGCACAGTTACACAAAGACAATAAAGACAAAGATCCCCTGTAGTAGCCTTAACAGACTGTAGGGGCAAGTGCTGTTAGCGAGCACCTATGAAGGCCGGAACGGCACACGAGGGGGTGGGTGGCCAGCACCACGCCCGACCGCCTTTGTCTCTCCCAGTGGCGATGTTTACACACCGCTCCAGGTACTCATTTAAGGCTGAGTCGACCTAGGGGAGGCCCAGGACCGATTCAGATAATCGTCACTGGTGTTGGCCGTGAGCGGGAATCGAACCCGGGTCGCCAGGTTCATAGCGCAGCGCGCTAACCGCTACACCACCGCTCCCCACACACACAACACACAGTTACACACAACACACACAGTTACACACACAACACACAGTTACACACACAACACACAGTTAGTGTGTAGCCGTGTGTGTGTGTCTTGGTGTGTGGCGGAGTGTGTGTCGTGGTGTGTAGCGGTGTGTGTGTGTGTGTCGTGGTGTGGCGGTGTTTGTGTGACGGTGTGCACGTGTCGTGGTGTGGCCGAGTGTGTGTGTGTCGTGGTGTGTGTGTCGTGGTGTGTGTGTTGTGGTGTGTGTGTCGTGGTGTGTGTGTGGCCGTGTGTGTGTCGTGGTGTGTGTGTGGCCGTGTGTGTGTCGTGGTGTGTGTGTGTCGTGGTGTGGCGGTGTGTGTGTCGTGGTGTGTGTGTGTGTGTGTCGTGGTGTGTGTGTGTCGTGGTGTGTGTGGCCGTGTGTGTGTCGTGGTGTGTGTGTGTCGTGGTGTGGCGGTGTGTGTGTCGTGGTGTGTGTGTGTGTCGTGGTGTGTGTGTGTCGTGGTGTGTGTGTGGCCGTGTGTGTGTCGTGGTGTGTGTGTGTCGTGGTGTGGCGGTGTGTGTGTCGTGGTGTGTGTGTGTGTCGTGGTGTGTGTGTGTCGTGGTGTGTGTGTGGCCGTGTGTGTGTCGTGGTGTGTGTGTGTCGTGGTGTGGCTGTGTGTGTGTCGTGGTGTGTGTGTGTCGTGGTGTGTGTGTGGCCGTGTGTGTGTCGTGGTCTGTGTCGGGGTGTGTGTCGTGGTGTGGCGGTGTGTGTGTCGTGGTGTGGCGGTGTGTGTGTCGTGGTGTGGCTGTGTGTGTGTCGTGGTGTGGCGGTGTGTGTGTCGTGGTGTGTGTGTGTGTGTCGTGGTGTGTGTGTGTCGTGGTGTGTGTGGCCGTGTGTGTGTCGTGGTGTGTGTGTGTCGTGGTGTGGCGGTGTGTGTGTCGTGGTGTGGCTGTGTGTGTGTCGTGGTGTGTGTGTGTCGTGGTGTGTGTGTGGCCGTGTGTGTGTCGTGGTGTGTGTCGTGGTGTGGCGGTGTGTGTGTCGTGGTGTGGCGGTGTGTGTGTCGTGGTGTGGCTGTGTGTGTCGTGGTGTGTGTGTGTCGTGGTGTGTGTGTCGTGGTGTGTGTGTGTCGTGGTGTGTGTGTGTCGTGGTGTGTGTGTCGTGGTGTGGCGGTGTGTGTGTGTTGTGGTGTGTGTGTCGTGGTGTGTGTGTGGCCGTGTGTGTGTCGTGGTGTGTGTCGTGGTGTGTGTGTGTCGTGGTGTGTGTGTGTCGTGGTGTGTGTGTCGTGGTGTGTGTCGTGGTGTGGCGGTGTGTGTGTGTTGTGGTGTGTGTGTCGTGGTGTGTGTCGTGGTGTTTGTGTGTCGTGGTGTGGCGGTGTGCACGTGTCGTGGTGTGTGTGGCCGAGTGTGTGTGTGTCGTGGTGTGTGTGGCCGAGTGTGTGTGTGTCGTGGGTGGCCGTGTCGTGGTGTGGCTGTGTGTGTGTGTGGCCGTGTCGTGGTGTGTAGCCGTGTGTGTAGCCATGTGTCGTGTGTGTGTGTCCGTGTGGCCGTGTCGTGGTGTGGCTCCCGATCGGGCCGCTCTCTACACGCGACGTGGCTACGTGGTGGTGGTGCTGGTAGTGGGGGGTGCCTGGCGGCGTCCGGGCCGGCCGCGCGCGTCTCGCGGTGTGTCTGCTGCTGCTGTGCTTGTTGTTGTAGTAGTAGTTGTAGTAGTAGTGGTTGTAGTTGCAGTAGTGGTTGTAGTAGTAGTAGTGGTTGTAGTAGTTTGCCGCGTGCCCTACGTGTAGTGGTGCGGCCTCTCGCTCGGCGTGGCCCGGGCCCCGCGGCTCGGCATGGCCCCGTGGCCCCCGGGCCCGCGCGCCGCCTCCACTCGCTGCTGACTCCCGCGGCGGCGGCGGCTTCGTCACGAACACGCCCACACACCACTCACTCCTCACACTAACACTCCTCCTCTTACACACACACACTCCTCCTCTTACTCACACACACACTCCTTCTCACACACGCCCACACACCACTCACTCACACTCCTCCTTCTCTTACTCACACACACACTCCTTCTCACTCCTCCTCCTTCTTACTCACCACTCACTCCTCCTCCTTCTCACACACGCCCACACACACTCACTAACACTCCTTCTCACTCCCTCTTCTTACTCACACACACACACTCCTTCTCACTAACACACACACACTCACTCTCACTCCTCCTTCTCACACACTCCTCCTTCTTATCACTCCTACTCACACACACACTCACACCACTTCTCCTTCTCTGCCTCACACACTCCTCCTCTTCACTCACACTCACTCCTCCTTCTCACTCACTCCTCACACACCACTAACACTCCTTCTTACTCCCTCCTCTTCACTCACTCACACCACACACTCCTCCTTCTTACTGACCACTCACACACCACTCACACTCCTCCTCCTCACACACTCACTCCTCCTCACTCCTCCCTCCTCCTCGTTCTCGTCCCCCTCGCAATGACAACAGCACCGCGCCACCCGGCGTAGTAAAGCTGCGCGCCACCAAACACCGACTCAGCTGTCGGAGTGGGGTGGCCACAAGTGGTTGGCGAGTGGCAATTTATGCAAAAGCTGGGCAGGGGGTGGTGCGCCAAGAAGCACGCCCGGCCGCCTTTGTCTCCCCCACCCACACACGTGGACACACGTGGCGATGGTTGACGCGTGGACACACGTGGACACACGTGGCGATGGTTGACGCGTGGACACACGTGGACACACGTAGCGATGGTTGACGCGTGGACACACGTGGACACACGTGGCGATGGTTGACGCGTGGACACACGTGGCGATGGTTGACGCGTCGACACGAGGTTGCGTGCGAACTCTGGCGGCTTGGCACGAGCACTGAGGCTCAAGATCGTGATCGTCCCTTGTGTTTGTTGCCTTTAGCAGCAGTCGAACTGGCTCGTGGCCCCACACGTCCACAACACGTGGAACGACAACAGACGCCATTCGCCACGAAGTGTCAGTGAGTGGCGCCACCACGGCGCTTGTGCCAGGCTAGGTGCGCTTTCAGGCCACGCGAAGTGTCGAAGGCTCGCTGGTAGGTCACGGGACAGACCCAGGTGCTATAGGATGACTGAGATTACTAATAGGTGCATCACTTGTGCTCCCCATATTGTACTATCTTTGCTGTATTTTATCCGCCCGGCACTTCGATCGTTGTTGTGAGCGTCGCTCCTCCGCCCTCCGTTGTTGCTGGAGGGCGACTGCCTCCAGCAGCAGCAGCATCAGCGTCCTTCACGAGCCTCCTCCACAGAGGACGATCTTGACACCGCTGGTACCAGTCGTCGGCAAGTCCACTCAGCTCCACATTCTCCTGTACCACATCAGCTCCATCTCTTCTCTAGCCCGTGCCGTTTAGCCCCCCATCTATCCGGCCAAACAGAAGCTGCTTGGGCATGCGAGCTACATGACCCTGCCAACTGAACCTTGCCTGCTGGAGCTCACTGATGGGACTGCGTCCAGATCTTTTAAGAATCTGCGAGCTAAATTTCGATTTAAAGCTTTCGTGACTGCAGGGATTCATCTTCTTGGTTCTTTCGGTAAAGTCACGTAGAAGGGAAGTAATAAAATAATAAAAATAAAACATAATAAAACAATTCTCACGACGTTTCGGCCACAACGCAAGCAGCCGTCCTCAGGTGAACGGCTGCTTGCGTTGTGGCCGAGGACGGCTGCTTGCATTGTGGCCGAAACGTCGTGAGAATTGTTTTATTATGTTTTATTTTTATTATTTTATTACTTCCAATCTGCGAGCTCCTCACAATCCAGCTTGGTTAAACCCAGGATGGCTTCTAGGCAGGCCAGCCTTAATGTTTCAAACTGGCGCAGATGTTCCTCCAGATGGGTCCAGTTTTTGCAAGCATAGAGAAGGGAGGGGATAACTGTGGCCGAGAAGACCTGGAGCTTTGATTGGAGTGACCGACCAGGTAGCTTCTACGCATCTGATGAGATGACGCTCGGTTCAATCGGAGACCTTTGCTGCCAAACTAGAACTGGTCATAAGCACACTGCCCAGGTATGGGAGCTCCTCCACTCTCTCCACAACTTCCCCATCACTCTTTGGGAGTTAAGGGGTTGAGTGTTTTATGATAAAGAATACCCAGGCAGATGCTTTGTTTTTGTGGGGCTGATATGTAAGACCTCACTATTTAGTTGCAGATTCCAGGTTCAGCAGCAGAGGCTCCAACTCATCAGAGTGAGAAACAATTCCCAGGTCATCAGCACACATAACATTGTTGACCAAAGAGGAGCCATCCCTTGACTGCACTGGGGCATCGATCAGCCTCCCATTGTATCTGTACCAGATGTAAATTCCTCATACTAACATACACACGCACACAAATACAGTACTGTATACTCACACGAATGTACAAAGATCCCCTGTACAGCCTTAACAGACTGTTCGGGCAAGCGCAGTTCGCGAGCACATATGAAGGCCAGCACGGTGAGGGTGTGTGTGGCTAGCAGCATGCCTAACTGCCTTTGTCTCCCCAGTAGCAATGTTTACACACTATACCAGGTGGTTATTTGAGACTGAGTTGGCCTAGAGGAGGCCCAGGACCAGTTCCCTGCTGGTCAAAACTCACACTGAGACTTCATGGAAGGGTTATGCCAAACCTATTCAATGTCGTATCATGTACTTATCTATGAATAAAAGTGATTATTACAATCAAAGCCATTTAAAAAGCAATGATCCAAGCTTACAATTATGTTGATCTTGGAAAGATATTGATGGTGTCTAGGGTCACCGGATGGATTCAACGTCAACATGATCAATACAACACATACTCCAGTGGCAATATTATCAGCCCTGCTGGATGGTTTCCCTTAAGCCATTTTCATCCCTCGTGGTCTCATGAATGTATGGCCAAAATTGCTCCATGTGGTCCATTTTTCCCACGTGGAATGTCCTCACCTGAATCACGGTTCAATTCCTGGGAAAAAGATTTGAATTTCTACCAGAGGTGTATAAATTGATGCTTCAATTCGTACATTATTTGGAGTGGGTTCACATGACCCCATCATACACTTGTCATTATCCATCTACAGCTGGATGAAGGTCTCCCCAAGCTGATCAAGGTGTAATCATACGTGACATGAAATAAAATAAAACATTTTGCGATCGTAAATGTTTTTATGATTCAATATTTCCGTGACTCACAACATGCGGAGAAACAGCTCATCAACATGAATGAATAATTATCAATCGGTATTTTGAATCTTTACCGAATTTACACAGTGGTGATATTAAACTCATGACAAAAATATCATAAATGTATAAGTCAGGAAAATAACTGAGATTGGGGCAAAAAATCGGACCAAACAAATACAGGTTCAAATGCACGCAATGTTGGCTAACGTTGCACCACTTGTTAGCTCTCACAAATGATAACTTCTCTGTCCTGCCCCTAATCAAAGTCTACACTGATCAACATTTATTGAGGAAGCTTTTCCTAAGGCCGTTCTTTACAAGGTCTTCAGATATGTGTTTACTGCAGTCAACATTGAGACATTTTATCCAAAGCGTAAAAAATGTAATAAAATACACATTATTAAATTCACGTGCAGATAGAATTTTAAGTTTTGGAATATGAAGATACCGTGGATGAAAACACGAGTGTTATAGTGGTATTTACGGTAAGTTGAATTTTCATCAACAGAAGTGACCTTCAACTTTCAAGCAAATTATATTGAAATGCTGCCATTATATCCAACATAACGTTTAAGACTATCAAATGTATCCTAAATGTACTATTGGAGTTCTACCATGAGGTCAAACAACACATCTGGTCATAAATCCCTTGGCAGATCATGAATTCAGTAGACCCTTCTTTTCAACACCAAATTGCATTCATTCATGCTCCATAAAGAGTGATTTCCAACATGTCAGTCTCTGATATTTTTGTTAATTTGAGCCATAAGAGCTGCTAGCTCTGTTGGTGTCAGCCTGTAACTCGCCATTGCTGGATAAAGGCCTCCCCCATTTTCTTACTTTCCATCTTCGTTCTTGTTCAGTAGAAGCCTCCAAATTATTTGATCTAAGTCATATAAAGTAAAAACTGACATTTGTACGGTCTTTCTATACATTCATTTGCGATTGGGCTAAAAACGATGAACTTGCTACAACGGAAAACATGATTTCATCACAGGTGGCTGTCAGGACTTTTGCTGGACTAGTGCTAGTTAGACATGGCCATTAGCCCCCATAAACCATCCAGCGCTTGCAAACGAGTGGCTGGAGGTCCAGAAATATTTAACCGCAGCTGTCGCTCACATCAGCCCCCCGAGCTTGCTGTTGAGAAAGTTCCATCCCTTCTTCAGCAGTTGCTCTCGCTTCTCCGTCGACCGCACGTCGCGGTGTTTTTGGAACTCTCGGCGGACGGAAGACACGAAGAAGTCTCTGTCCGTGTACTGCAGCCGCCGGCCCTCACGCAGGATCGCGCGGTACAAGCTGAGCACGGCCGGGCGCGACCACTGCACCGCCACGCCAGACATCGCCACAGCTACCGTAGTCACAACGATGGCTCCTGCAAGAACAAAAACGCGTGCACATGTGGGTGTCGAGGGAAGAAAACGTGACGGTTTGCTTCATTTAACACGAAGGCTTTCGTGACCAATATCCATAATGAAGGTTATTTTTGGTTAGATCGCGTAAATATAAATATGTCGTTAAACCTGCCACCGTCTGACAGCCAATTAGTAAGGGTTGTTACGTAAACAAAACACGCCAATTCGGTACTCGATTTGTATATGTTGTGGGTTTACTGTCCTAGTAACGAATTGGCATATTTTGTTTACGTGACAATTGGCTGTGTCGGGTGGTGGCGGGTTTAACGATCTAACCAAAATAAACTCTATTACGGTTTGCTTCGTTTACTATACTTTATTTTGTATTGATTACATTTTTAGTGACCCAGGTCACTTGAGAGGCAGTGGGGTTGGTGGGTCGGCGTCCAGGTGCCATTCCCTGGCTCACCAGGAGACGGCGGCACAGGAAAGTGCGAGCTAATCTCCCTCTGTCCCTTCAGTGTGGAATAGAGTGTTGCCCCCTCGCACGCGTGGATTTACTCCCACATGTATAACACTCCTTCAATGGCCGAGAACATCGTAATAATGCGTTGTGAGATGCAGTTTGCATAAATTAGGCGACTATAAAACCACTCGTATGAACACTCATCTCCAATGATCAACCTCGCCGCGTGCTGGTGTTGTCAACCTGCTCACCACGTGTGTGCAATCGACGCCAGTTCCTTCAAGAAGCTGCCAACAAGCGGCGCGAAACATCGGACATCGTGGCAACCCGCACGCGGAGTCGCCCTCGCTCACCCCATCAACAACTGCCACCGTTCCCCACTAAGTGGCGCTTGTGCCAGGCTAGGTGTACCTCAAGGCCACGTGAAGTGTCGAAAGCTCGAGGAGGTCACGCGACAGAACCAGGTGCCATGGGTGCAGTGAGGAGCCTGACAGATGCACAATCTGTACTCACCACTGTGCCAACTCACCCACACTCACTCTCTCACCCTCACCCACCCCCACTCCCCCTCACTCACCCCCACTCCCCCTCACTCACCCCCACTCCCCCTCACTCACCCACTCACCCTCTCCCACACTCACCCCCACTCACCCACACTCCCCCTCTCCCACACTCACGCACCCCACTCACTCACCCCACTCACTCACCCCCACTCACTCACCCCCACTCACTCACCCCACTCACTCACCCCCACTCACCCTCTCCCACACTCACCCTCACTCACCCTCTCCCACACTCACCCCCACTCACTCCCACTCACCCTCTCCCACACTCACCCTCACTCACCCTCACCCCCACTCACCCCCACACCCACTCACTCACCCCCACTCACTGACCCCCACTCACTCACCCCCACTTACCCTCACTCACCCTCTCTCACACTCACCCCCACACCCACTCACTCACCTCCACTCGCTCTCCACGCCGCTCACCTTGCCCCGTTGTCGACTGGGGCCCTCCAGCGATTCCTCTCCGCGGCGATTACAAATCGCGATTCCTCCCCATGATTCGATTCCACAACATCATACAGTTCAGTACAGTATTTTGTATTGGTGAACGCGTCCGGAATCGAACGCGGATCGATTAAATACGATTCACCCGCGTCGAGAATACTCGATTTCTACATGCACTGTAGACGTTTCAACCTCATTCCATTTCAATTGCACATCGTTCTATAACCTCCAAGGCCCACTGACGCCACAATATATCATTGTAAGCTAACAAAACGACTCAAGTGAAGGAAAACACGAGGTAGAATGCACGTTTATAAAGAAATAAAATACAATGTCAGCGTTATTATTATTGTCGTGTGGCTGCTGATGTCGACGCAGATCAACGACTTCACATTCAAGACAGATAATAACCCGCAGCGTGGCGCTGCGACGTCTCCTTACTTGCAGATCGGGGGGGGCATTGCGTCGTCACGGTCCCCCCCTCTGGACTGGACCACGCAATCAGCTGTCAGCTGTCTGCTGCTGTCAAGGTTTATGTGGCAGCGGAGTGCGGTGTTTTTAATTTGTATTATTTTTAGACGCTTTTATTTAACTCACTCTTGTCACTCTGGCTGTTGTTGTATCCTCAAATCTTGTAACTCGATTTTAACCCACTTCCCAATGTGGTATCGACTGCAAACTTGGTATACTTATGTCATACTGATGACAACACTATATTCTACCATTAAACATTTGTTTTTTACTTTAATAAAAAAAGGTGTCAGTTTTGTTGCCAGATAAAAGGGTAAAAAAAAAACAATTATCATATTTTGCTACTGGCAAAGGAGGTTCCAATGGTGTAAATTATTTTTTAGATGTAAAGTTTCGGCTTGGGTCTAATTGGCAGTAATTGTCCAAGGCCCCTGACGTTGTGGCAAGCTTCGGGGCCACTTGCTGGAGTCGTGGAGTTCTTCCATTACCAGTAGGGTACATTTCATTAAAGCGTGTTTAAAAAAAGTATTTTAAATATTACTTATTTATTATTGTTGTGTGGACGATCACGAAACCCGCCAGGGGGAGCGACGATTGGTCAAAGACGAGGGCCGGCGGATCGATTCTCAAACAAATTTATTGGCGACTCGCGCGAGTCGCCGGCACGAGGCGGTGACCCCGCCCCCCGCCCCCCTAGCCCCGCCCCTCGCCCCGCCCCTCGCCCCGCCCCCCCAGCCCCGCCCCTCGCCCCGCCCCCTGCCCCCCTAGCCCCGCCCCTAGCCCCGCCCCTCGCCCCGCCCCTCGCCCCGCCCCCCCCAGCCCCGCCCCTCGCCCCGCTCCCTGCCCCCCGCCCCCCCCAGCCCCGCCCCTCGCCCCGCCCCCTGCCCCCCGCCCCCCTTCGCCCCGCCCCCCCCTGCCCCCCGCCCCCCCTCGCCCCGCCCCCCTGCCCCCCGCCCCCCTAGCCCCGCCCCTCGCCCCGCCCCCCCCTGCCCCCCGCCCCCCCTCGCCCCGCCCCCCGCCCCCCTAGCCCCGCCCCTCGCCCCGCCCCTCGCCCCGCCCCGCCCCCCCAGCCCCGCCCCTCGCCCCGCCCCCTGCCCCCCGCCCCCCCAGCCCCGCCCCTCGCCCCGCCCCCCCTCGCCCCGCCCCCCCTGCCCCCCGCCCCCCCTCGCCCCGCCCCCCTGCCCCCCGCCCCCCCTCGCCCCGCCCCCCCCTGCCCCCCGCCCCCCCTCGCCCCGCCCCTTGCCCCCCGCCCCCCCTCGCCCCGCCCCCCTCGCCCCGCCCCCCTGCCCCCCGCCCCCCCTCGCCCCCCCTGCCGCTGCGTGAGAGGCGGGGAGAGGCTGCCGCCTTCACAGTCCGCACGTCGCCTTCGAGCTCGTCTCCTACTGCCCCCCTCCTCCCCATCTCTTCCACCCCGCTCGCTGTTCTCGCGTCTCGCCGCCGCCGAGTCGGGCGCCATGGCCAGCACGGGCGTGCTGCCGTTCGTCCGCGGCATCGACCTGAGCGGGAACGACTTCAAGGTAATGAAGAAGTGAACCACCGCCCGGCCGCCGCCCTCCATAGAGAAGAGCCCGCGCCGCGAGACGTCGCGGTGCCAACTCGGAGGGTTTCCCTCCAGCCCCCCCACTCGTTTGCGTTGACGGCCCTGGCGTTAACTTAGTGCCAGGTCAGAGGGTTTCCCTCCAGCCCCACTCGTTTGTGTTGAAGGACCTGGCGTTAACTTAGTGCCAGATCAGAGGGTTTCCCTCCAGCCCCACTCGTTTGCGTTGAAGGACCTGGCGTTAACTTAGTGCCAGATCAGAGGGTTTCCCTCCAGCCCCACTCGTTTGTGTTGACGGACCTGGCGTTAACTTAGTGCCAGGTCAGAGGGTTTCCCTCCAGCCCCACTCGTTTGTGTTGACGGACCTGGCGTTAACTTGGTGCCAGATCAGAGGGTTTCCCTCCAGCCCCACTCGTTTGTGTTGAAGGACCTGGCGTTAACTTAGTGCCAGGTCAGAGGGTTTCCCTCCAGCCCCACTCGTTTATGTTGAAGGCCCTGGCGTTAACTTAGTGCCAGATCAGAGGGTTTCCCTCCAGCCCCACTCGTTTGTGTTGAAGGACCTGGCGTTAACTTAGTGCCAGGTCAGAGGGTTTCCCTCCAGCCCCACTCGTTTGTGTTGAAGGACCTGGCGTTAACTTAGTGCCAGGTCAGAGGGTTTCCCTCCAGCCCCACTCGTTTGCGTTGAAGGACCTGGCGTTAACTTAGTGCCAGATCAGAGGGTTTCCCTCCAGCCCCACTCGTTTGTGTTGAAGGACCTGGCGTTAACTTAGTGCCAGGTCAGAGGGTTTCCCTCCAGCCCCACTCGTTTATGTTGAAGGCCCTGGCGTTAACTTAGTGCCAGATCAGAGGGTTTCCCTCCAGCCCCACTCGTTTGTGTTGAAGGACCTGGCGTTAACTTAGTGCCAGGTCAGAGGGTTTCCCTCCAGCCCCACTCGTTTGTGTTGAAGGACCTGGCGTTAACTTTGTGCCAGGTCAGAGGGTTTCCCTCCAGCCCCACTCGTTTGTGTTGAAGGACCTGGCGTTAACTTTGTGCCAGGTCAGAGGGTTTCCCTCCAGCCCCACTCGTTTGTGTTGAAGGACCTGGCGTTAACTTAGTGCCAGATCAGAGGGTTTCCCTCCAGCCCCACTCGTTTGCGTTGAAGGACCTGGCGTTAACTTAGTGCCAGATCAGAGGGTTTCCCTCCAGCCCCACTCGTTTGTGTTGAAGGACCTGGCGTTAACTTAGTGCCAGGTCAGAGGGTTTCCCTCCAGCCCCACTCGTTTGCGTTGAAGGACCTGGCGTTAACTTAGTGCCAGGTCAGAGGGTTTCCCTTCAGCCCCCACTCGTTTATGTTGAAGGACCTGGCGTTAACTTAGTGCCAGGTCAGAGGGTTTCCCTCCAGCCCCACTCGTTTGTGTTGAAGGACCTGGCGTTAACTTAGTGCCAGGTCAGAGGGTTTCCCTCCAGCCCCACTCGTTTGCGTTGAAGGACCTGGCGTTAACTTAGTGCCAGGTCAGAGGGTTTCCCTTCAGCCCCCACTCGTTTATGTTGAAGGACCTGGCGTTAACTTAGTGCCAGGTCAGAGGGTTTCCCTCCAGCCCCACTCGTTTGTGTTGAAGGACCTGGCGTTAACTTAGTGCCAGGTCAGAGGGTTTCCCTCCAGCCCCACTCGTTTGTGTTGAAGGACCTGGCGTTAACTTACTGTGCCAGGTCAGAGGGTTCCCTGCTACAGCCACGATAAAGTTGCGTGCTGATGTTTCGTTGTTCAGAATCTTTATTCGTATCTGAGGAATCTGATGAGCTGTAAAGCTCTTGTTGTGTACATGTCCAGTAGTTTTCACAGACGTGTGCCCGGTGACGTAACCTGTGTGGTTTAACTTTGATGCCAGGTTCGAGGATTTTCCCCTCTGCACCTGTGGTTGTGTTGTTGATGTTGTGTCTGGGTGGGGATGGTGGGGCTGGGTGGGGGGTGGGAGGGGTGGGGCTGGGTGGGGAGGGGCTGGGTGGGGAGGGGCTGGGTGGAGGGTGGGGAGGGTGGGAGGGGTGGGGGGTGGGAGGGGTGGGGCTGGGTGGGGAGGGGCTGGGTGGGGAGGGGCTGGGTGGGGAGGGGCTGGGTGGGGAGGGGCTGGGTGGGGAGGGGCTGGGTGGGGAGGGGCTGGGTGGGGAGGGGCTGGTCAACCCGTGGTGCCCTTATAAAACTCAACGTTTAACCTACTCACGCCGGCTTGTGCCCGCCCTCACAGTCGGGCATATTTGCGGAATACACCACGCCGCAGTTGACCCTGCAGGCCATTGACCGAGCAACCCAACGTTCCTACCAGCTCCCTCCGCAGGAATGTGTTTAAGATGTACAAACACCAAATCGATACATTTTGCACGGCATCGAATCTGCATTCACCACCGGTACTTGTGGAAAAACATGCAAACACAAATATGCTCTGAAAATGTATGCATTATCTTTGAAACAACCTTTTGCCTGCTAAGCCACGTGTATTCTGTTCGTGTGTTTGCTGGCAGCTATATATTTAGGGGCTAAATGATAGCTTGAGAAGTCTCTAATTTAGCTATTCATCTGTTGAAGGAACGCAGACTATGTACAGTGGCTTTGCTCCGTGGCTTTCCATCAAGAAATGCTTTAGGAAGCACAACATAATTCGCCGCGTATGTATGTACTGTCTTTATACTACTGTCTATTGTCTGGGAATGGTTATTTGTCAAGGGGTTTTACACGTTTATTAAATAGTTTAGTTTTTAGTTCATTTGGCATACAGTACCTCTTTAAATTGTGTCTATTTTTGGTTGCCATGTACCTAGCCCCATTATTTAGGTTGGGCTTAACTATTGAATATTGCGGTTTTGGCTTTCGCGGCACTTTCCAAGAGCGATATTTAAGGGTCTCCTGTACGTTGAACCTCTTTCGCACCGTACGTCGCCAACCGTGCTAATCGGAGGTGCGGATAGAAAGTAGATGTGCTTTCTGATTATTTTCTCCTTTTTTACATTGAGCCTAGGATTTTTTTGTCTTGGAAATTAAGTGTTTTTTTTTCAGTTTAACACAGAGGCTTTCGCGACCAATATTATTCATAATCAACGTTTTTGGGTTTAGATCGCGTTATTTATAAATGTGTCGTAACCCTCCACCACCCGACACGGCCAATCAGTAAAAAAAGTGTCACGTTGCTTTAGCCCACCGGTGTGTTGAAGCGTGAAACCACAACATTTACAATTTGAGTACGACGTTTCGCTGGTAATTGCATCCAGCATCATCGGGCAATTCGCCAGAATGGTGAGGCTCTGCTGTGTCTCCCGTTCTTATATAGAGCAGCAGCAGGGTGACGTCATCATTAACGCATCAGGTGCAAAGATTTGAGGGGGGGTTATTGTAATTATATACTAGATTAGTAATCAGGCTATTGTTACGATGCGAGTTGTAGATTAGTAATCATTTGGCATGTGTTTTATTGTGATTATGCTACATTAGTAATCAGTTAGTGTTTGTTTCCCTTATAAGGAATTGTAATGTATCTTATTTAATAATACGCTTCCAGGCCGCACTAAGCCTGTAGCTGTCTGAGCGATTAAAGTTATTTCTGTTTCTCTCAATTTCAATGGATTCTCTAATTAGTCTTTGCCACACCGGTGGGCTAAAGCAGTGAACTATTTGTCTTTTGTCAACGTGACACTTTTTTTACTGATTGGCCGTGTCGGGTGGTGGAGGGTTACGACACATTTATAAATAACGCGATCTAAACCCAAAACGTTGATTATGAAATGTTTTTTTAATTGTGTTCTTTTATCCAGCGTGAATATGCTAATGATAGACATCCAATGATAGGAACTTTGTGGTTGTTTTGTCGTTTAATGTATGATGTGCATTAACATATACACGTTTTGAAATGTTTGCCCAAGGGAGGCCCTTATACTCAGCGTTCAATGTATGTATGTTGAACTTCTTTTGCGCAATACGTAACCAACCCGGCTAATCGGAGGTCCTGGCTGGGATCTTGGTATAAGCAACTACAATTCAAGACTAGACATTTCACCTTGCATGTGCTTTGCAGTGATGCCGATGAAGGCAATATCAATATTACTTTATTTTTATATACCACCCTTTATAGCGGGAGATCTTAGCACTTTACATCACATTTTAAAAGAACACCCCCTGTAGCAGCTGCCCCTGTGAGAACACACTTTGACTCAGCACCTAGCCTGCAATTGGCATTAGTCTACCAGCAGTGGGCGATGATTGCTATGTATAATCCCAATTGTGTATTTGCAGGTAATTTTCGAATTTGGCAAATTTGGACCATGATGCTTGCACACATGGACTTACTCTTGCAAATTACCTCTGGAATTTTTAGTGTCTACTGTGAAGGATGTAATGGTTATTACACCCACAGTAATAACCAGGCTGGCCCACTGGGCTGGAACCGCAAACCTCTGCAACAAGCAGTAAATACGCTACTGCTTGGTCGTGATTTGCAATTATTTGTATTTAAGGTTTGATGTGACTACTCTTAACTCATATTCTTATTTTTTGAGAGGGTATGACCTTATCGGGAGAGTGCATCATCTTTATGGGATTCATACTCTTAGTTATTTCGGTAAAGTCACGTAGGTAAAAAAATTAAATTAAAATTAATAAAAATAAAACAATAAAAATCACGACGTTTCGGAGGCAACACAAGCTTCCGTCTTCAGGTGAAAGCTTGTGTTGCCTCCGAAACGTCGTGATTTTTATTGTTTTATTTTTATTAATTTAATTTTTTTACCTACGTGACTTTACCGAAAGAACTAAGAGTGTGAATCCTTGCAGTCACGAAAGCTTCAAATCTAGAATCTTTATGGGACTTGATATATTCAAAGAAGCTTGTTCTTATCATCATTGCCAACATAATTTTACTGTTGATGCCTTGAAAAAGCTTGTTGATATGGACATCATTGCACCTTTAACCAAGGCAACAAAATTTGCACAGGAATGATAATACTTGCGTTTATATTGTGACCATAATGTGATGAAACGTCTTGGAGTGCAGGGATGGGCCCCTGTGTGCGTAATCGATTTTCTGTATACGCAGTGGCGTGGTGGTGCCAAAGACATGGCCAGAGCTAGATTTAATTAGATTGCATTACGATGACATTTCACAATGCATGATAATGACGATGTCCAGATAATTTAGTGGTGTGGGGGAAAAGTCAGTCAGCCACGCAGTTGCCGCACACCTTGCGTTATTAAAAATATCTTAATTAATATTGACATTTGTGCAGTGTTTAATTTCTCTAACGTGGTGGTTGTCATTGTGCTCTGTTTTTGTGTAATTTTCCTTGCCGTGTTTTGTCTTATTCCTCGTTGTCATTTTGGTGACCCGGGTCACAATTTTAAATGAGACTATCTCATGGTCTCTTGAGTTCTCACCTGGTTAACCAAAATAAAGTGAAACTAAAGTAAACTCGGCCGGCTTAAGCAGTGCAACTAACCGTGACACATCATGGACCACACCCTTGGTGCCCTTAACCACGCAGACGTGCTGCCCTCGTACTCGCCCCACCCTTTATCGCCGTCGGGAGCAGGCACACCATCGTTTCCTTCCTAAAGAGACCTGTCGCAATGTTTTCATGTATGTGTTCAGAAGTCAGCTAAACTTGTTTGAATGTACGTGCTTGTCATATTGATATCTTTTTCAGTTTTAATGTTTGCTGTTGTAACAAATGTACGGCAGTTTTAACACAAGTGGCCGTGCAATTTTCCGATTTGGTATAAATGATCATGTGTATGTTTACGATCTGTAAATTAATAACATAAACACTCGATACACTGGTCAATAATAAAAGGCAACGTTGTGGCCCTTCTTTGCACCACAGAGAGGCCAGAGAAATATATGTGTGATATTGCCATTGCAATGTCACCAAATAATTAGTACATCAACAAGCACGATATCTAAAGAGCTGTATAAAATACGTTTAAATAAAGACGGTGACATATTCTTTGGTTCTTTCGGTAAAGTCATGTAGATAGAAAAAAAAGTGAATAAAAATAAATTTTGACTTAAAACCTGATTCCCACCACCATCCATCCCAGAAGAATTTCCTCATCAAAACGCTACACAATAGAGCTCAATGTATCTCCAACCATCAACACCTAACCAGTGAACTCAAACACGTACACCAAGCTCTCAAGGCGAATGGATATTCTGACTACACAGTCCGCAAAGCCATCACCCCAACCGTGAGGAAGGAGCCATCTGATGATCCAATCAAACCATCACCTTGCCATACATAGCAGGGGTAATCAAAAATATTTACAAAATCATGAACAAGATCCGGGTCCGATTTAATACAGTATATAAAATTCCAGATCTGATCCCATCTGTGAAGGACAAGATTCCTGACATGCAATATCCTGGGGTCTACAAACTAAGCTGTATCTGCGGCAGCAGTTACATTGGGGGAACTAAGCGACATGTCTCTGACCATGTTCGTGAGCATAAGGCAGATTTGTAACACGGTAGGACCAATACTTCTGCCGTGGCTGATCATTATTTTAATGCGGCTGGCTCACACGAAATTGATTTCTCTAAGACGATGGTACTTTGCAAGCCTACTGGCTATCAACAAAGATTAGTTCATGAAGCCATCCATATATACAGACAGGCACAATTTCAACCGAGAGAATGGTTATAGACTCAGCAATCATTGGAAAGATGTCATCAACCACTTTGGGTCATGACTTGACTTGTGTTTTCTTGTCAACCTCCACCGTCAGCAGTGTGGTGTGTGTAGCGTGGTGCAATGATTGTCTGGCGGCCCTTTGATTGGTGTAGACCCATTGCAGGTGTCGTTGTTTTCTTCTACATTAACATTAGCTGCTCCGCCCATGCTGCTGACGCACTTGCGCTACGCTCATCTCTAAACCTTTATAAACAGTTTGCCTTTAGAGGCTAACCCCCCTTTTCCTGATCATGACTGCTTGTGTTGCGATCGAAACGGCATGGCAAAGTTTATTATTTATTTATTTCTGAAAGAACCAAGAATAAGTCAACATTATAGACTGTCAGTACGTCAACTCACGTTAAGAACCAGGCTAGTCTAAATTATAGACTGCCAATATGCTCACCAGCTTAAGAACCAGGCTACAATCTACATTATAGACTGCCAGTACGCTCACCGAGGTTAAGAACCAGGCTACAGTCTACATTATAGACTACCAGTACACTCACTCCGATTAAGAACCAGGCTACAGTTTACATTAGTGTGTTTTTTATTCACTTTATTTTTATTTCTCTATCTACGTGACTTTACCGAAAGAACTAAATAATTATAATGCAATTGATTGGTTTTGATGCAATAATTTGTGATCTGGCTGAGGCCATCAATTTCTGTACTTGAGACACCAGGTTCACACCTATCACGTCAATACTTTAACACTCGGTGTAAGCCCACTGGCGGGTGGACAGAATGTTACGGTACAATATGTTGGTTTCTTGTACCCGTTTGTGTGGACTTTTAAATGTTACTCCCTCATGTGCACGAATGTTCCCTTGGTAGTACAGTTGCCTCCCATATGCAGAAGGAACTAGCCAAACTTTACAAAACCCAGGCATGCTTCAAATGGAGTCTGAAGACTCGGTCAAGTTTTCCTGTACAAATAAAAGGACATTTTTTTTTTTTTACATGAGCACCATGGAGACAAAGGTGACCGAGTGAGCATAGTCCTAACCGCACCTTTGCGTTCCATCCCAGCCTGAGGAGGCGCTCCCAGGCTTAGAGGCTTAGAAGGCGCCTCAATAAAACACCTGCTCTGTCCGGTTTAGTTTAGTTACTACATTTTTGCTCACCCCGGAGAGGGCTCATTGAGATAGAAAGCTATTTTTCAAGGGTGACCCTGGACCCGGGGGGGGGGGGGGGGGTGCGAGGGGTTAGACTGATAGTTTAACTATAATAATAACCCACTCTTTGTCAGTCCACTGCTGGATGATTGCCTCTCCCATGCTTTGTCAGTCGAGGATAATTCTTTGACAATTTTTACTATTTAGTGTGCGTTGGTCAAGTTGTCAGGATTATTGATGATCCAGCACTCACACATTCTCTCTAGTCTCTCACCGGTGGTCAGTCACCTCCTCATCACTCTTCTATTGCTACTACCGTTCCTCACTGTTCTCGTGAAACTCCTCTATTCATTCCTCCACTCGTGTTGAGGACTCTGACTCGCAAACTGACTTTTTCATTTCACCCATGCTATGGTCACTGCATGCCACAGCCCTTCTCTTGCCACTTCGTCCCTCACACTGCGCTACCTTGGAATTCCCTCCTGTCGTCTCTTTTCCCAATCTTTTGGCCTTGCTCAATTCACTAAATGTGTTAATGCTTATCTGTTACCACTTTGATAGTGCTGTTTATTGCTGGTGTTTTGCACCGATGGGCCTGTGCTCAGCAAGTGTGCAAACCAAAAAAGAGGACTTTTGACAATGATGTTAGCCATGGCCAGCAATAAAACTCAGGTTGCAGGGTTTACAGCGCAGTGTCCAAACCACTGCACCATTGATAATCTATAGGGCTGTAAATGGTGTTTTTACCCACGTGTTTGTGTCATTGTGTGCGCTCACAGGGAGGGAACTTTCCTGAGCGCATTGGGGCCATGAGCAGTTTGCGGTGGCTGAAGCTGAACCACACGGGGCTGTCCTATCTGCCCGAGGAGCTGGCAGTGCTGCAAAAGCTGGTCAGCCCTACGCACCAACACCACCATCATATTGCACATGTGTAGCCCAACAACAACATCTGCCATTCGCCACTCAGTGGTGGTGACGTCACCACGGCGCTTGTGTCAGGCGATGTGCACGTTGAGGCCACGTGAAGTGTCGAACTGCCCGCTGATAGGAGGTCACGGGGCATACCCAGCAGGTGCCACGGGTCGACCGACTGAGATTACTGGCCGATGCACCATCTGTGTCCCCTACTGTGCCAAATTGCTGTGCTTTAGCCGCCCGGCGCTCCGCTCGTTGTGGGCGTTGCTCTTCTGCCCTCTGTTGTTGTTGGAGGGTGACTGCCTCCAACTGCCCAGTAGCATCCTTCACGGGCCTCCTCCACAGAGGCCAATCTTGACACTGCTGATACCAGTCATCGGCAAGTCCACTTCGCTCCACTTCCTCTTGTACCACGTAACTCCATCTCTTCTCTAGCTCATGCCACGCCCATTTTGCCCCCTCTATCCAGCCGAACAAAAGCTGTTTAGGCATGCGGTGGCTGGGCATGCGTGCTACATGATCCAGCCAACGCAGCCTTGCCTGCCGGAGGAGCTCACGGATGGGACTTTGTCCAGATCTTTTAAGATGGATCGTAGGCAGGCCAGCATAAATGTTTCTAACCGGCGAAGATGTTCCATTAGGGGGATCCACATTTCGCAAGCGTATAAAAGGGAGGGCATGACTGTGGCCGAGAAGACCTGAAGCTTCGTGTGAAGCGACAGACCAGGTCACTTCCCCACAGCGTTACGCAACCAATGAAAAGATAATGCCGCTCGACTGATTTGGAGTAAGACCTCTGCTGTCAAACCAGAGTCGGTCATGAGCACCACTGCCTAGGTATGGGAAACTCTCCACTCTCTCCACAACTGCCCCATCACTAATTGGAGGTTGTAGGGGTGGAGTGTCTGATGGTACAAAATACCCAGGCAGGTGCTTAGTTTTGGTGGGGTTGATGGTAAGGCCCCACCTCTTAGCGGCATGCTCCAGGTTCAGCAGCAGCGCCTCCAACTCCTCCTTTGAGTGTGTAGCCCAGGCAGCCATGGACATATAAATGTGGTGATAGTGGTGCAGCCCTACGATTGCTTGCTCATGCCACTGCTGGCAGAAAGGCCTCCGTGAGAAGCAGGGGTCAGTAACCAAAATAACAAGGAGAGCTTTTTTTTTATATTCTGTAAAAAAACCCTCGATATTTCAAGAGCCGCAATGTACGTGAATACGTGAGAATCCCTAATATATAACGTCTCGAAGCAGTCTATGAAGAGCCGCATGTGGCTCCGAAACCACAGGTTGCCGACCCCTGCTCTAGGGGGTATATTGGCCTACTCTTCCGCGCAGGCCAGAAGCGCTGTAAGAGTTGGGAGTACCTACACTTTACCCCACCGCATGTGACCTGCCGATCGACTAACCGCGGTGAACCCATTTATACTGCTGGATCGACAGAGGCGGGGGCGATTCAAGAAACTTGCACCACTGTTTCAACATGCGTTAGAGCTCTTCCTCGCATGAATGGGGGCTGCCGTGGATGAGAATTTGTTGCTACGAGGTGTTCCCCTGTTATACCGAGTATCCCAAACAAATACATTTTCCCCAATTAGTATTTCAGACACGATAAATGCAAGGCGTCTTTTAAAGTTGATTAACCAATTCATAATAAACGTTTTTGGGTTAGATCGCGTTCATAATCTTAGTTTTTTCGGTAAAGTCACGGAGGTAAAATAATAATAATAAAATAATAATGAATGAAAATAACTAAATTAAATCACGACGTTTCGGAAACAACACAAGCCTCTGTCATCAGGTGTAACTGCTCCAGTAAAATTACTGTAGCGTGTGAAGGGGGAAAAAAACTAAGAGTATGAATCCTTGCAGTCACGAAAGCTTCAAATCTAGAATTAGATCGCGTTATTTATAAATGTGTCGTAACCCTCCACCACCCGACATGGCCAATCAGCAAAAAAGTGTCACGTTGACAAAAGACAAATAGTTCACTACATTAGCCCACCGGTGTGTTGAAGAGTGAATCCACAACATTTATCACATTCACGCGAACACCGTGGGTAAAGTGAAGTGAGCTCTGAGTCTTCTCTTAATCCTGTTCTCACACGTTTCCTCATGGTTACATGTTTTCCCGGACTCTTGTTTGGCAGCAAAAGGGAAGTTGATGATTGAGAAACAAAGTTGTGTTGGTGATTACGCAAAATGCTCAAGGATTTTATGCCGTTCTCTTTAGCAAAAACCAGGAACAGCAACTCTCATACAATATGAATCTTCAAAGCATTTCCAGCAGCTCACAACTTCAAAGTATACATTGCTTATTTCCTTCTCATACAAACAAAAGTGCATTTTAATGATGTTGATGATGTTAATTGCCATTTCTGTCTGTTCGATATTAAAAAGTGACCCGATTGACGCTGGTATTGCAGGAGCACCTCTCTGTGAGCCACAACCAGCTGACGACGCTGCACAGCGACATCACGGCTCTCCCCTGTCTCCGGGTACGCTCACACAATCCGCTGCACCAGCGAACCCAAGACCACCATGAGCATTCTTTTTCCTGGGAGCGGTCTTCTTCAACTGCTAGGCATTTGCAAAGAGAAAAGCACCAGGGAAACAAATGTATTCTTAGTTTTTTAGGCCATTCCACGGCATCTGAGGTAAGTGTGAGTGGAGTCTATTTGTTCCACCAGAGTACACGTGTTGTATTGGGCAATCATTGGTGATATACGACTGTAGAAAAATAATAGATCACGACGTTTTGATCGCAACACAAGCAATCGTCAGTTTTTTCAGCAGTTTTTTCTTGCTGTGGTTGTCCCACCTGATGAAGATTGCTTGTGTTGCGATCGAAACGTCGTGATCTATTATTTTTCTACCTACTTGACTTTACCGAAAGAACCCAAGAGTATGGATTCCTGCAGTCACGAAAGCTTCAAATCAAGATTGATATGTCTGATTGAGATGATTTGGCTGATATAAGTTTCCACACGATGAGCCACTTCTTTGAGCGATCATTTGTGGCCAGGTCGCTTCTGAAAGAAAGCTATATAGCCCAGTTGGCCTTACCTGGTGAAAATAAAATATAAATTAGCGTCATTTTTAGAGTAGCCAGTGTCGCACGTGGTGTCAGGCTGCATACTGTGGCGGTTGTAAAGTTCATAATACGGTACTCTGACAAACATACAAAAAAACATGCATTGTAACGTGACCCTTGATATCTGACATGGCTAGGTTTTGCTTTTTTAAAGTGAGATTAAAGTATTGTGAGCCGCTGTGTGGGGGCTTCGGTGACGAGATGTTAACTACCTCATCTAGTATACAGGAGGTTTTGGGTTCGATCCCGACCTTGACACCTGTTGTATATTTTCAGTTTGCGTGGTCTACTCGTGGATGCGGGGATTTTTCTCCAGGTCCTCCGGTTTTCCCCCCCACATTTAGAAACACACTTTTCGAGTATTTGGCTGCAAAATTTCCGCATGATAAGCTGCTTGAGCTATCATTTGTGGCCAGGTCGCTTCTGAAAAATAGTTATATAGCTAAGTGGGCCTCAGCTAGTTTAACAAATAAAAGATATAATTTATATGCCTGATGATTTGCACCTATGGCGGTGATATGGGCCAACGAGAACACTTTCACCACTTTTTCACACAGGTTTGCTGTTCAATTTCAATGTGCCATAAAACATGTGCGACGTCTCCTTCACAGTGGGCGTTAAATAACCCGTGATGTCATCCGAAGCAGACGAGGCCATCATTGTGTCCCACTGTCAAATTTGATTTAAAAAAACCTCGTAAACGACTTAATTAGTAAAAGTTATCAGGTCCCTCTTGAAAAAGAGTCTTGATACTCAGTGAGGCTGTTCTGGATAAACAGTGTAAAATCATACTATTTCCACAATCATGGCCCGGCCCTGGTGGCTCCAGCATTTGAGCTCTAGCAACAGCTGGTCAGTTCCACGCACCAACACCACCAATGGGCTGGCTGCTCTGGCTCGTCTTAAAGTGAAGGAAGTTTTGTCAAGGAAAAAGCCAGCCCAGTTAAACCTGGCCATTACGTCACATACGAAGCAGCCAGCAAGATGGTAATGGACGATCTTCTACTGATATGGAAGTTCTTGCTAATTGTTTTAGTGTTTTAAAGCGTTTGTGTTTATAAAGCTCATGTATTAAACTCTTCTTTACCACCACCTTTATCTGCAAATCCTATTATCTGTGTGGGCCAGGGGAGTTGCTATACATCCAATTATTCATGCAACACGGTGGATTCTTGGTGATATTTTTTAGAATGGAGTAGAGAATTTTTAAAATATTATTATAACAAGTGGTTGTCTGGATGACTAAACCAAGCTGGAATGACTTTACTGATTCTTTGTCCTTTTGTTGCAGGCCATTGTAGCCAGAGCCAACCAGCTGACAAATCCTGGGGTTCCTCCTGACATCTTCAATCTGGAAGACCTCTCTGTTCTGGTATGGAAGCCCTGCATTTTAAAAGCTCTCATTGCCAGACATGAATATCAACCACAATCGTGGTTCGCAATGAACTGAATAACAGAGAAGTTTTAAGTTTCATCGCAAAAAAAAAACTTACATTTAAAATCAATCGCAGCATACTTGAGTACAAACAAGGGTGATTTTTTTTAACTTTTCCATTGTTTTTCATTGGAAAGCTAATTCATTATACGGAAGATTATCATTGAGTTTCTAGACTCTAATTCTGGAGAGTCCTGCATTGAGATGTACGGCTAATTCCATGAATGATCGTTTGTAATGTATAGAAAACCACCCTTTCATGGAGCAACCCTCAACGTTGCCTTCTCCTGCTCACCTTACAGCCCCACACCTACACATCTCTGATGGGCCGCCTATCCACAGTGCTAACCAGGCTGAACATTGCATCTTCGAGAGCTGATGACACTGGGGCGAATTTAATGTCATTTGGTTGCAGACACTAATCAACTCTATAGTGGATTCCCAGCTGCGATTACTGCTTGGTGCTTGCACATCTGCAGAGCCCCGAAGAGTGGTAAGTTTGCCATTCCCTGGGCCTAGAGTACTTGTAGCCCTGCTTTTGTGTTAACTTGTTCCCTTTGCACGTAACTCTGTACTCCCTTCAGGATCTCAGTCACAACCAGCTGACGGAGGTTCCGAATGAATTGGAGAATGCAAAGAACATGCTGGTGCTCAACCTCAGCCACAACAGGTTCGTGCACGGTGCTGTCGGTCGTGCCGCTTATTTTGATGCATCGGTGAACAACTGGACATTTGTGCAAGATAGCTTCATAGCTCATCGGATTCCTCCACGATGAGTAAAGATTCTGATTCTGAACTCCATAATCATCGGTCCTTCCCCAACTACAACCCTGTTTTCATGTTTGGATGGGAAGTTTACTATCAATTAATGTGTCAGGAGTCATGTTACTGAATGCACTTTGTTACTTGTTGATTTTATCTACAACAATGCTCATGGTCATTTTGCATTATGTAGTATATAGTGTGTGTCAATCTCTGACCCATGTCTGATTGAAAGGGTCCTTGCCTATGGGATGTGTGTGTGTTTTTATGGGGTTAGGTGAAGGAGGTCCATTTTCTGCATATTTATTTTGTAAGTTATATTCTCCACAATCAAGCTGATTATTATTTTGTGTTACTGAATATAGATTGGGATGCAAAGAATATGTATGGGGATGAGAGGTGCAGTGGTCTGTGATCTTCGGTGCACATATGGAACCACAGGTTAGGTGTCTAGCCGAGCACATCAGTAACTGCCTGAGGCCCTTCCACGTAGACACAGCCTAAAATGAGTACCCGGTGTTATGTGCCAACAAAAGCACTGTGAACACAGGCATGGTGTTGGTCACACTAATCTGTTGCATGCATTGCCAGCCATAAATACGTGTACACTCACACCAACCAAGCATTCTATGAAGGCAGCAGAGAAGGCCAGTGTATATGCATTTACCTACTTTGACAACCCATAATTCCTGGGCCTGCTCCGTAACCTGCCAGTAGTAAGCCTTCGGTAATCTATGTGGCCTAAAGGGACATTAAGCCTGGTGCCGGTAACATCTAAAGTCACTTCCACTTGTTGGTGGATAGCAGCGATTGGCCTGGCAGGTTCTTTCTGCGACTGTATTTCATGGGTGGAGGACACCAGGGAGTTGGCCATATGTCTCTTCGCTGCATCCGTTCAACCGTTGTTGTCAAGAAATGGAGCAAGTAAGGGGAGCTCATTTGTGGCTTTGCCCGTATAGACCCTTTAGATTGGCGCCCGGACGGGTAGATGCTGTTACCGCTGTCTCGGTGCTTGCTCCCACATTCAACTCGACAGCCCTCATCGCCGTAGTGTTTTCGCACGCGTGTCATTCATCGATCGTGCCCTCCTTTGCCCGTGCCGCCCTTCCGCAGTATCGAGACGATCCCCACGCAGCTCTTCATAAACCTGACGGACGTGCTGTACCTGGACCTCAGCAATAACCGGCTGGACAGTCTGCCGCCCCAGATGCGGCGCCTTGTCCACCTGCAGACGCTCATGCTCAACAACAACCCCCTGCTGCACGCACAGCTGCGGTGGGCCATCCGCCTGCACTTTCCAGCCACCCGCCCCCGAGAAGACGCAAACATCCGCTCGTGTGCTCGCACTTCCCATGCAGAGAACCTGAGGATTCTACTGTTGATTCTGTTCCAAATACAGCTCTGTTTTCCGGCATCCATGGGGAATGGAAGGTGCCAGTTAATAAAATAAAACTTTTAAAGAAAGAAACTAAGCCTACATTTGAACTATGATACAATACATATATTATTTTAAAGAGGTACTCATCAGTCGGTTGTAGAGCATTCTAAGTTGATAGTAGAGAAGCAGTGGGGACGTTTAGAGTACAGTATACAGTAGCACTTTATGTACAGACTGCCGCTAGTGCCAACATTCGGCAGCGTCTTGAAAACTCCTGTAAGCAACATATCTATGATAGGTGCACGTCAAGATGCCGGAAGGCTGTTGGAATATTTCCGGTTACGTGAAGGAAGATTCGTATTGCTATCAATGACAGATGCCGGTTAATACAGCATTCCGGATGGTAAAGTGCCGGATGGAAGACCTTTTGCTGTTTTGTCTATCCGGCAGCCGTTACGTTAGTGCTACATTTACGGCACTTTCTCAATCCTCTGCTGGATGAAGGCCTCCCAATGCCAAAGTCACTCATTGCGGGCCCTTTTGTCCGTTCTTCACGCTGGTCAGCTCAGGATGGACACGTTTCACTGTTGTACAACGTCTTGTGATGTGGCTTATGTTGTGTTTGTATTGTATGAGGATGACCTTAAGATTGTGATTGCTCTCTGTAGGCAGCTGACAGCCATGACAGCCCTGGAAACGCTGCACATGAGGAACACGCAGCGTACGCTCAGCAACCTGCCCACGCAGCTGGAGGCACTCACGCACTTGGCTGGTAACAAACGCGCACAAAGATCCCCCGTATAGCCCGCAACACAGATTGTTGGGGAAAGTGCCATTAGGGAAAGCCGGCACGGCGTACGACGGGGTGGGTGACCAGCACCATGCCCCGGCCGCCTTTGTCTCCCAGTGGCGATGTTTACACATCACACCAGGTACTCATTTAAAGCTGAGTCGATCTAGGGGAGGCCCACAACCGATTAAGATAATCGTCACTGGTGTTGGCCATGAGTGGGAATCGAACTTTGGTTGCCGGGTTCTTAGCACAGCGCGCTAACAGTTCCACTACCACTCCACATGGGTCCACACAACAGACAGGCAGCTGGTACAGCACACACATACGAGGCGAGGACTCGACACACCACAATGACTGTTTTAATAGGCACACATGTGCATGGCCGCTACAGTGCACAAGGCATGTAACAGTGCACGTGTTCACGGATTAAAATCGGTTCCTGTGTGCATAATGCGACGCATGTGTCGTCTTCGCTTTGATTCCCTGCAGACACTGTCAACTGGCTTAGCAAAACGTGCATTGCACATTATACACTCCCTTGCCCTGGTATACAGGAGGTTGTGGGTTCCATCCCAACCCTGACGTCTGTATATATCAGATTTGCATGTTCTCCCTGTAGTGGCATGGATTTTTCTCTGGGTCCTCCGGTTTTTCCCTCCACATTTACAAACGTGCGTTTCGAGTATTTGGCTGCTATACATTTCCACACGATAAGCCACTTCGTTGAGCTATAATTTGTGGCCAGGTTGCTTCTGAAAAAGAGCTATATAGCTCAGTGGGCTTTACCTGGTCTAATAAAATTAGTCTTCGATTTTTTAGTTTCACAGGACAAATGTAGAACACTACAAATGTGGGTGAAAATCATTCCAGCACCATATTGCCATGTTGTAGAAACACATTGTTTATTCTGCAGAGAGATAGATATTAGGCTTCGGCTGCCTCTGTTCTCGTTTGCGCCCGGCTACTGTCGGCACGAGTTCACGGCTACGTTTGTTCTGGGCGCCTGCCAGATGTGGACCTTTCCCACAACGAGCTGGCGCGGGTCCCCGAGTGCCTGTACACCCTGTCCGCTCTACGCCGCCTCAACTTGAGCGACAACCAGATCACGGAGCTGTCGCTGTGCATGGACCAGTGGACGCAGCTGCAGACGCTGAACCTGTCGCGCAACCAGCTCACCTCGCTGCCGGTGGGAACGCGCCCGCTGCTGCCGTGACGCGCACCACCGCCACATGTGCTTCCGTTACTTCGACTTGCACTACCACGCACAAACCACATGGCCACATTTCCCTAGTTTTTTTGCATTGGCAACACCAAGACGACAAGCCCAAGATCCCTCTCCCTATAGCCTACACAGACTGTCGGGGCAAGTGCTGTTCGTGAGGACCTTATGAAGGCCAACACGGCGCATCAGGAAGTGGGTGCTCGGCACTGCACTCTCCAATCCTGATGACTACACACTGCACCAGATACTCATTTAAGGCTGAGTCGATCTAGGGGAGGCCCGTGACCAGTTCAGACGGCATCACTGCAGTTTTCTGAGGGGGAATTGAACTCGTGTCACTGGGTTTGTAGCAGAATGCGTAAGCCACTACAGTGCCGCTCCCCGCAATCCCCACCGCTCTCACACTACCACCGTATGTTGCCGCTCGGCAGGCTTTTGCGAGCACAGTGGCAGCCGTGCTTGCATGTCACCATGCGATTCATGCACTGCGACCACACTGTTCACTTTATTGTCCGCTGTTTTTTTATTTCTTATGCAATGCAGTTGTGTTTGTTAGAATTTACGTTTGGTGGTTTTTGCTCAGATTTTCATAAATTTGCTTCGTTGCTTTTGTGATTTTCGCTCCCCCTCGGTCACTCTTGTAAATGAGACTCCTCCTGGCCTCTTGAGTTTTCACCTCGTTAAACAAAATCAACTTGAACGCAATGCCCCTGCGCACGTTACTGCCACGTAGGCGAGAGATACCAGCAACATGCAGGCTGTGGGTTGTGCCACACGGTAACAATGTGGTGCCATACTCTTTGGGTCTTTCGGTAAAGTCACGTAGATAGAAAAACAATAAAATAAAAAATCACGACGCTTCGATCGGAACACAAGCAATCGTCTTCACGTGAAAAAATACAGCAGGCGGACTGCTGAGGCAGGAAGAAATATAGCGAGAGAGCTACTGCAGCCAAAGGTTTATATGGGTTTGAGATGGGTACAACCCAAGGGTAAGTGGGCGGGGCTAGAGATGGAATTTACAAGTAAATGTAAGATCGCAGAGCTAGCTATACCTCGGCCATTGTGTTGCTAGAGATGAGCATGTCAATCTGTTAATGTAACCCCATGGCTACGGTGCTAAAGAGATTAGAGATTAGCATGTCAATGTGAGACAGCTCCCGCAGCAGCGGCTGTGTTGATGAGAGACATTCAGCCTATTAAACAACGAGCGCCACCGGCGCATCGAGGAAAAGGGAGCAGCAGCGATGTTAGTGAGACATTTAGCCTGTTAATATAAAGACATTTAACAAGGTAATGTAACTCGGAGAGTCGGAAATAACTGCTAACATAGGCAGGTAGGATGGAAGCATCACAGCTAGTTAGGACTTTACCTGGTTAATAACGTCCTTCCAATGATTGCTCAGTTTGTACCCAACTTGTCGGTGGAAATTGTGTCTGTGTTTACAAATCTGGATGGCTTCAATGTGGTGCCACACGGTAACATTGTGGTAAGCTATGTTAATTTATCTTTGTATTTCCCGGAATGTTATGTGAATGACTCGACATCCGCTGTGCCAAAACTAATGTGCAAACGTCACACCCCGGGGGCATGCAGTCATCGATCAGCAAGCTGGCCAAGCTTCGCAAGCTGTTTGTCAACTCGAACCGGCTCGACTTCGAAGGGATTCCCTCCAGCGTGTGGAAGCTGGGAAATCTGGAGCAGTTCGTGGCAGCCGACAACAACCTGGAGCTCATCCCCGAGAGCCTGTGCAGGTCAGCGTCCAGACAGGGCTCGGTGTCAGGCTCGGGGGTGTGGAGCTTCCGTCATCGTCAGTTGCAGAGCCAGCGCTAAGGTCAAGGTGTGGGGGTCAGCGTCGAGTCCACACTCGGGGTTTGGATAAGGATGAAGATTTTACTCGGAGCGGATGGAATGATGAGAGAACAAAACATCTGGTCCACAAATGCTGTGTGAAAAAGATGATTTTATATACATCGAGTACCTCTATTAAGCTGCTCGTGCATCTACTGCGTTAAATGTAGAATTACAGTATCCTCAATCACCAGGATATGTGATTACTGATTTTTACGTGAAACAATTGCAAATTTTTCGTGACTGCAGGAATTCATATTATTTGGGTCTTTCGGTAAAGTCACGTAGATAGGCTCAAAGAAAATAGCAAAAAAAATACAAAAAACTACGACGTGACTTTACCAAAAGACACAAAGAATATTAATTGCAGATTTTATTTGCATTGTTCGGCCCGTATTGTTCATCACAGCACAGCTCGGGCTTCGCTCTGCCTCCAGGGAGCCAAGCTCCGAGGCCTGCTTAACTTGAGCTGGCTCTGAGCACTCTCCCAGCCACGCTCAGGATTGCTTTGAACTCAGCCTTTAGCCGCTCGTGCACCTTTGAAAACAACCGAGCAGCTCGAGTGCTAGAGGCTGAGCCAGAGCCGAGTTGCGACTAAGAACACGTGTCCTCATTGTTGCGCTCCGTGATGTTGTGTGCAGGTGTGCCAAGCTCAAGAAGCTCGTGCTCAACAAGAACCGGCTCATCACGCTGCCAGAGCTCGTGCATTACCTCACCGACCTGGAGGTGAGCCAAGCCAGATGCGCGTTGCCGAACACCGATAGCTCTGGAGAGATACAGACATAGCGCGGTGCCGTCGCTGCCGAGACAAAATGGAACGTTTTGTGCTCGGGGAAACATAATTCATCTATGAAATCTAAATATTCACATTTATTTTTTTATTTAGCCCACCTCGAACTCTCGGCAACTCCTTTGTCAGTCGAGAGTTCTGAATGAAATACGGTACACGTTTGTGGGGCATAAACCCCACAACTCAACCAACCAGGAGCGCGTGGGTTTGATCCAAACCCTGACGTCTGTATCTTTGGAGTTTGCACGCTCTCCCCATGATTGCGTAAATTTTTCTCCTGGTCCTCCGGTTTTTCCCTCCACGTTTAGAAAAATGCATTTCAAGTATTTGATAGCTATAAATGTCCACATAATAAGCCACTTCGTCGAGCTATCGTTTGTGTCCAGGTCACTTCTGTAAAAGAACGATATAGCTCAGTGGGCCTTACCTGGTGAAATAAAAATAGTTTATCTTCTTGGTTCTTTCGGTAAAGTCACGTAGAAGGGAAATAATTAAATAATAAAAATTGACATTTTTAAATAATTCTCACGACGTTTCGATCACAACGCAGCCGTCCTCAGGTGAAGAACAGGTCTGTCGGAAAGACAGCATCTGAATGAATCCCTGCAGTCACGAAAGCTTTAAATCGAAAAAATAGCTTAGTTTAATAGTATTAGCTGCTACATTTGCAGCTGCGCCAGACATTGGCATTGTAGGTAACGTTTCAGCTCCAGATGGCATGGGGTGAATGATGAACACGACAAGTGGACTCAGTTGGGCGTGCGCTCTGCTTGTGTGGGGCTGTTGTGGAGGTCCTGGACGTCAGAGAGAACCCCAACCTGGTGATGCCCCCCAAGCCGACCGACCGCTCGGAGAACTTGTACAACATCGACTTCTCGCTGCAGAACCAGCTCCGCCTGGCGGGCGCTTCCCCTGCCGCCATCGCCGCCGCCGGTAGCAGCCTCCCTCCCCTCCCTTCCCTCCCTCGCCTACCTCCTCTCCCCATGTTGCCCGCTCCCCTATAGCAACAACACGCGCTGTCTGCCTACTTTTAAGCGCATGTCTCAGACACACTAGCACAAGTGGGGCATCTGCGTTTTAAGCCCAGGGTGTTGTGTTTTGTGTTTTTGTTTTTTTTTCTTTGTTTTCCCCCCCCCCCCCTTTGCTTTGCATTCGGGTATCAGTTGGCTCGGGAGCCATGGCAGACAGTGGTCTGCACGCCGTGCACGGGGGTCCGTCGATGTAACGAACCAACGGCACTGTAGATTGCATGGTTGCCCGTGTGGTCAGAGGCGGCACGGTCATTTCCGTAACAGAGGGTCGACGATTGGTACGATTTGTGTTCTCAGGGGGCGGGCAGCCCGCTAAGGACCATGTGGCGCGGAAGCTGCGTCTGCGCAGGCGTCGCGATTCCGCGCAGGACGACCAAGCCAAGCAGGTGCTCAAGGGCATGTCTGACGTGGCCCACGACAAGAACAAGACCTTGGCGGTAGGCACTGCACTTGGGACGCCCCGCTCTGGCACGCACACCGTGACGCGGCTGTCTCGCCGGCACGCTACCCGCTGGCCAACCACGCACCACCGCATGCAAGTAGCGTGCACCGCCTATACCAGTGTAATGTGAGGATATATCCGGCTCACTGACGTATCACAACTCATGATGATTGGCTCTGCCGGTCCTGGTTTATAGCCAATGGGGGGAAGCCTAGGGGCGTGGCCCTGACGTAATGGAAAGGTGACAGCTGTAAGGATTGGTTCTGCTGGCTTTGGCCACATCCAATGGGGAGAGGAGTCAGGGGCGTGGTCCCGGGAGCTTACGAGGGGGCCTGGAATATTCCATGGAGGCTAACGAGGATTGGCGGAAACGTACCACGTGACCCGGGTATTAAATAGGGGGGGAGACGAGCGACACGGGGTCAGAACGGGAACGAACAGAGGAAGGGGGCCACGCGGGAGCGGGGCTCCGGGTTGCCACGTGGCAGTGTGTCTCTCTCTCTATCTGTCCCTCTCACGCTGCCTGTCAGCAGCGTGAAGGAAAGCTGTAATACAAGTTGAATAAAAGACGGATTCCAGAAGTCGCCTCAACGAGATTTATTACACCAGTATGACATGCTGTACAGCAACACAGGTACAATCATGGACGTAAACAATATTGGTGCCCATTGAGAGAAAAAGTCTCATTTTCAAGGGAGGACCTAGTTTATGAATGATTTGACACATGCTTTAGAAAGTTTAATTTAATATCTAACCGACAGGTTCGAGGCATCATATTCCCTGCTAATAAAAGTGCAATGACCGAGGCAACAGACCACTCACCTGAGGCAAGCGTATGGGCAGACGGACAGTCAGGAAGTACGCCAAGGCCTCCTATTGGTGCAGAGAGGACTCCAAAGTGATTGGTCGGGAGGCAAGGTTAAAAGAGATTGGAGCAGAGGTTTAAAACGTAAAAGGCGGGAAGCGAAGGTTGACGGTTGAGGGGACGGTTGACAATTGTAGGTGGTGGAGGAGGACGAGGATTGGCCAAAAGAAGTGGGGCGAGTGATGCTTCGAGGGAGGAGGCTCGAAAGGGTATAATAGGGGAGAGCACAAAGGGAGGGGACCTTCTGGGAGAGTACGAGCTTCAAGCGGCAAGAAAGTAGCCCGGGCCTAGTGTTGGTGCTGTGTCTAATAAAAGGCCCCAAGTAGTTACGTGTGTCGGCGTCATTACAAAAGTAAGTGGGCTTGGGCAGGCCACGTCGCTAGAAGGATCGTGATGGCTAGAGGTCAGGACTCCAGAGGTAGTCCATAGACTCACGGCTGATGGTTCAAGTTCACGGTTACACGCACGGTGGATAAAACTGCTGACGTGAATCCCGCGTAAATGCATACCTCGGATCATGCGAATCTCATGATATGCTGTAACGGGCCTTTATGTTTTGTTTCATGAAAAAAAATAAAACCCTGTTTACTCGCATCATCATCGTCGTCGTCAGGAGGGAGGCGACGTGCGCTACACGGAGGTGAAGAGCCGCCGCTGGGACGAGGGCCTAGCCAAGCCGCAGCTCGACTACTCGGAGATTTTCACTGAAGACGTGGGCCAGATCCCCGGCGTGTCCGTGTGGCACATTGAGAACTTTGTGCCACAGCTGACCGAAGATGATTACCATGGCAAGTTCTACGACGCTGACTGCTACATCGTGCTGAGGGTGAGTGGCCTAACCTCCCTTGCTGGGGGTCAGGGGAGATGGGTTTTTTGTTGCACAAACTGCCAGAGGTGGCGGCAGCAGAGAGGGAGTGACCTTTTGTGTGAAGTGCAGGTTTTTGATCAGGACCTTGGAGCAGAGGGCAGCTGGTGAATCCAATTACTTGAGCGGGGAGTGGTAGGCAGGGGAAAATATCCTCGAAACAGTGGTCAAAACATTCCAAGGAGGACCCTCGTGAAAACCTATTGTAATCAGCTTTTCTTCAAGAAAACAATATTATTTTGCACGTTTCACAAAACCTATGCACACTGCAGGATGACACGAAATCATAACAATCTTCCCCACATAAGCATGACCTTTGTGCATGTTGTAGTTGAGTGGATTGTTTCTGAATGTACAGTAGGAAACACTTCCTAGGCCATAGGGTGCAAATTCATCACATGAGCAGTATTCATATTAACTTGGAGAGTTTCTTTTTAAAAATATGTTTTCTAGAAATTGCAGCCTCCTGACGTGCGATGCTTTGCGAAGAGCGCCCTGTTGAAGGCCTGTGTGGCGGCTCGCTTGCCCGTCCACCCTCTCTCTGCGCGCTCGGCTCCCTTTCTTCTCTGCACAGACATTCATCGACGAAAACGGGGCAATCGCGTGGGAGATCTACTACTGGATCGGGACGAAGGCAACGCTGGACAAGAAGGCGTGCGCCGCCATCCACGCCGTGAACCTGCGCAACTTCCTGGGCGCCGAGGGGAGGTCGCAGCGGGAGGAGATGGACGACGAGAGCGAAGAGTTCCTCGCTGTGAGTGAAGCCCCCCCCCCCCCCCCCCCCCGTGACTGCAGGGATTCATCTTCTTGGTTCTTTCTGTAAAGTCACGTAGAAGGGAAATAATAAAATAATAAAAATAAAACATCAAATCAAAATTCTCACGACGTTTCGGCCACAACACAAGCAGCCGTCCTCAGGTGAAGAAACAGAGCTGTCGGAAAGAAAGCGTCCCAATGAACACCGCCAGGCTTGACAGTGTATATTTAAGCTGGGTCGGGGGAGGAGAGCGCCTTGACAAAGGAGTTTACATATCAACAGCGGAATTAAGCAGATACCGTGGTGCGGGTTCGGGGGGGGGCCTGGAATAACAGGGAATGCTCTAGGATACAATCGGGATGCTTGTTCTTCCACAACACTTGTGTTCACATTTCGTTCCGTGCGCTTAGAAGGGTTTTCATTCAATATTTACACTCGGTAAGCCAGCAGGAATGGTGAGGAGGTGGAGGGGGGACAGGCCCCAGGATTCACTTTACTTTCAATATACTCTGAATGACAGCTGTTCTTAGGGGGAGAATGGACGGACATGGGCTTTAAGTTATTTTCTTTTTTATTTTGCTCGTTATTTTGGTCATATTCCCCCTCCTCTTTCCCAGTCCCCACCCATGCCTCGGGCATAAAAGGAACCCGATATACCCTAAAATAGCCCATGTTTTGGGAGAAGGATCTAGCTAAAGGGTGCAACTCCTGGATATACAATCCCTGCATGTATGTTTGTGCCCTCTGTTATGATCGCGGTTTTCGGGTTCAATAAAAACAAAAAAAATGTATGTTTACACTTGGGTCAGAGATATGAGGTTATGTCTCTGTGTAGGTTAGAGGCATTTTATTAGGTGGTTAGGTATTTCAGGAACATAATTGATTGGAATTATGGGGGGGGGGGGGGGGGGGAAAGGAATTCATATAAGAGGCACTGGTTCTAAGATTTAGGGAAAACAAAGCATTGCTTTTGAATAAGTTTTGTAGATTAGAAAATCCTGGCTCTTGCAGCCTTGTGTGCTATAATTAGACAAACTTCCATGTTGTGGAGCATGGCAATCACACTTGCGTGCACCCTGATGTTCTGTGACATCTAGTTCTATCTATGCAATATAATTAATATGTCCGATGAGTGACGTGGAACTTGGACTGTTCGTCAGTTTTATATTCGCACTTTGATTATTGATCTTGCTGTTGTTGATTGGAAGAATGGGCTCTTTTGTTTTTGCGTCTCATGCATGTGAGTGTATAGGTGTTTGATGGCTCCATCTCGTATATTGAAGGGGGAACGTCTAGCGGATTTTTCACGGTGGAGGAAAACGCCCACATTGTCCGGTAAGTTCACATCATTGGTAAAATGGGCAGCTCTATAGGCGGACGTCGCAGTGGCTGCGGTTGAGATGACGTTAATTGTGGTGATTTGGCAGGAGAAATCCTTTAATTCTGCTGTGTGCATCGCTAATGAAAGCTCCAACCTCACCTCCACATCCTACAGAAAGCCCTGCAGCTGCTGCTTTTGTGTTTTGGGTAAATGGATTAGTGACACCTGGATTTAAACAGAAGATTAAATGGATGGGTTCATTTGGTAGGAAGTATTACATACTTTACAGTGTCATTTTATTTAATTGCTCAAGCTCAAATCAAATACAACACTTAGAATTATAGATCTGCGAGAGCTTCTTTCAGGTTCAAAAGCAAATGCAAATGTGGTCATGAGCCTTTTCTAAGTGTAACCTTTCATTTGCTGGACGCGAAATGATATTACACCTGCACTGCATTGCTTATCTCTGCATGATATAATTTCTACAGCATGACAACGATTTTAAGCTTTTCATTTAAATTATTTTTGATAGAAAAAGTCTACATGCATTAGAAAATTGAAGATAAAAAATTCCACAGTAGAAATACTGAACAGAGAAAGCCATTACATGTACATTCAATATCCTCCTATCTGCAATGCATTGCCAGTACAGGGTCAGCAACGAGGCAGTTGCTCTCAATTAATCCTGCAGCCATGTGACCTGAAGCACAGTGGTCCTGGGTGACTTCAAACTGCGCCGCATGGTTCCAGTTTACTTTGTTTAACCAGGCGGGAGCTCGGAGAGACCAGGATGAGTTTCATTTGCAAGAGTTGACCTCGCTCACCAAAATGACATAAGAAAAAAACAAAGTACAGCGATGAAGTAAATAGTGATCAGAACAAAAACAACCGTGTCACATGACAAATAGAAAGTATTGCAAATATAGCAAATTGTGGTGATGCGATTCCACACAGGCATAGTAAAAGATTGTGAAGCTGTTGAGTCTCATACTTTGAACGGGCGACACGATCGAAAGGGCCCTGTGTCACACGCTCAAACGTACACGCTCAAACGTACACGCACTCGCACATGCACACGCTCGCACACGCTCGCGCACGCTCGCACACCCACATGCTTCCACACACTCTCACACGCACAGGCTTGCACACGTACAAGCTCGCACACAAATATTCCGCACAAGTAATTTCTTTTGGGTTAGATCGCCGTGTAGGTTTGATGTCAGATTTTTTACTCTGACCCTCCACCACCTGATAACCAATCAAATCAAGTTGTCACGTGGCCAAATGTGCCACTTGATTTGTTTTTTTCAGCAAACTAGAGAAGGAATATTGAAAAGTCCAAGCAAAGTGTGGCAATTTAGTACGAATAACATTTTGCTGGAGATTACATTCAGCATCATCAGATGTTAAGCAAAGCTCAACTCTCACACGTGCTCACGTTTCAACATTTGGTTTGCTATAAAACAAAATCAATTGGCATATTTGCCCATGTGAAAACATGATTTGATTGTTGGAAGGTTGTAAAAAAATGTATGTTATACTTAAATGATTTAACCCAAAATAAAGTACCGTAATAATGAATCCTAACATAGGTCGTGAAAGCACATTTATGGACTAAACTGTCCACTGCCACCCACAATGGCTTCCAGCGGCACGGACACACGCACAAAAATGCGCAAATCACACGCAGTCATTCTCGCCTATATACAGACGCCCTCAGACTACTCGCTACTCCACATCACCACTCCACATCACCGTCCCCCAATAACCCAATAACCGCCTGAGTAGCGATAGTCGGTAAATCCTGCGCACGTGTGTTCTGCTTTGCTTGTGCATTTGGGCAGATTGTACCGCTGTCACGGTACACAAAGCATCCACCTGGAGGCAGTAGCACTCAAGGGAAGCTCGTTGGACCTACGGTGAGGACGCGCAGCGTGGCTAATCCTCACGCACTTCCCTTTCTATTCTGGCAAATTAGATCGCATCGCTTGTTATGTGACAGTGTTGGTTACTTAGAACCACGTAACCTGTAATTGAGTGGCTAGATAACCTGACATAGAACCACGAAGCCTTTGATGTTACACGTGTTTGTCTGGTATCTGTTGCAAATCTCGGGCCTCCTGCAGCAGACTATATTGTTAAATGGAAGACTTTTGTTGTGAGTTGCAAATTGATTGTCCCGGCTTTTGCCTTTGTAACTTTGTGTTTAGGTCAGACACTGGGCCCAATTAGATTGCATCGCTTGCATGTGACAGTGTTGTATACTTAGAACCACGTAACATGTAATTGAGTGGCACGATACGTTCACATAAAGGATCAAATCAAAAGGCCTCTGCTGCTCCACCTGTTTGTCTGATACTAGTCTACCAGTATCTATTGAAAATCTCGGGCCTCTCGCAGCAGCCTATGTTGCTAAATGAGAGACTTTCGTTGTGAATTGTAAAATTATTCTCTTGGCTTTTGCCTTGCAGCTTTGTGTTTATGTTGGACGTTGGGAACACCATCTACATCTGGAAGGGGCGGCGTGCCGGCCTCAATGCCAAGACAAAGTGCAGGTGCCCGCCTCTCGCTCACTTTCCTCCCTTGCCACAGTCGTTACAATCGTTGCAATATCACTGGAGGCCTTTTTCCAACCGTCCAGTGTTCTTCTTCAAGCGTCGTGCTTCTACATTGCGTTCACGAAGATCTTGTGCTTGAAAACATCTCAAGGGAAAGAGAGGAAGGAAGAAGAGGACTGGGGGTGTAGGAGTAGTGACAAAACGTGCTGCTTGCAGCACTAAGTCTATAATTAACACTGGGAATCAATCATAATTTTTTACTATAGACAATTTTTATTTTACCAGGTAAAGCCCAGTGAGCTATTAGCTGTTTTGCAGAAGTGACCTGGGCATAAATAACAGATCTACAAAGTGGCTTATAACATGGGAATTTATAGCAGCCAAATACTCTAAATGCATGTTTGTAAATGTAGAGGGAAAAACCGGAGTGCCCGGAGAAAAATCCACGCAACCAATGTGAGAAAGAGAGAACACGCAAACTCCAAATATACAGGCGTCAGGGTTGGGATCGAACCCATGACCTCCTGCACACCAGGCAAAAGTCGTAACATTTCGCCACCATGGCACCACTTTGTGTTATATGCTAAAACATCTACAAATAATAACAATAGACAATGCATTGTGCATATGATTCACTGCATTTGTCCTGAGCTTAAGAATTGATTTAAATCGTTGAATGATGTCTGTTATATCTCTCTTAAACACAAAAAACATTGCACACAACCACCCACCTGTGTGTGGGTGGAGTTGGAGAAGCCCCTCCTTGCACCACACGTTGTAACGCCTCCTCTCCTCCAGGCTGTTTGCGGAGAAGATCAACAAGAATGAGCGCAAGGGTCAAGCCGAAATCCTGATGGTGGCGCAGGGCGAGGAGCCCGAGGAATTCTGGACGACCTTAGGGGGGCAGCCCGACTCGATTGTGCCTCACGTGCCTGCCGACTTCGTTCCCTGCACGCCCAAACTCTTCAGGGTAATGGGTCGGGGACGAGAACACGTCGCCTCGCGTTCTCCGGACGCCCCAAGTGTCTCCCTCGTGGCTGTTGTTGCTTCTTGCTGTTGCTTACTCTTACTTTTCTCGTGGCGCCCATCTCTCCCTTCCCGCTTCGTGCGTCTCCAGCAATGCTGCCTCCTCGCTCGACCTTCCCCGATCCGTCGCGTGTGGGGGGAACACCCCCCCCACCTCCTCGGCACATGTTGGAACGGCGTTTCCATTCCCGTCATAGCCTCTGCCTCTCTTCCGCTGTCTGAATCTCACCAAGAGAGGTCTGTGGTTTTGTCTTTTTTGTGAATCGTTTCGTGAAAATAGCCAATTACTGCAGCTTGCATTGCTCTTCTAAATAAATATATATTTGACGTTTTGCTTTGTTAAAGCACGATGCACGTTTATACATTCCTCATCCTCACTGTACTGATACTTTTCCATCTTCACCGTAGAAAACTCCTTGTATTGTGCTGGTATTCTGTTCTGTCGGCGTTATGCCATGAGGCCCTGTAGCGTCTTGTGTGCTCACGGGCGTTGGGGCACTGCGCTGTGAATTAATTGTCAACAAATTCTCTGGTGCTGCTGCTGCTGCGTTGGCAGTGGTGCAACAAGCGCAAATAAGTAAAAGACTCGACACATTCGTCAATGACACTGTGTGGCTTTAAAAATAAAACTATGCAATGGGTGACGTTTCGGGCGACACCCCTTCATAGCTTGCCACACCCACCCCTCTGCGTACCTTGCCACTGTGGGTAGGTACACCACTAACTCATTCACAGTACTACCTCAGACAGTTCATCAGGCTAAACAGTGGCCGTTTGTCCTAATGCGTGATCTAAGAATGCAAATAACATTGAACAAGGTCTGTATTCGAGTGGACCTGATGGCCACGAGCGGTGTTGGGACTGGCACCTGTGGTGGAGGTTCATGATCGTTGTCACTACGCAGCTGTTTGGTGAGACTCCTTCAGCTGCAACAGAAGGCAGAGAATCGGTACGACACTGAGCAGCTGAGAATCTACAAATAAGGACCACGAGGCCAGACGCCAGGCAGTATCCAGCCTCTAAAACCCCTCGGGGTGTGCGCACAGAGACCGTGGTCCTTGCCTCCGTAGTTGCGCACTCAACCAGGTTGAGACATGGCGACGCCACCACGGTTAACCCTTTCCCGTTCCGAGACGTCTGCAATTCATCGCTGAATCTCGGAACGCGCAAAGCGGCTTGCCGTTAATTTTATTAAGAGAGGCACATCGCCGTTGTTTTTTAAAGGCATTGTCCTCGCCGCAGAGAACCGTAGCGACACGACCATGCTCTATAATAGCTGGCGCCAAACTGCCACACGCCCTCCCGCGTGGCCTTCTGGGAACCTCGGTACCGATAAAGTTATTTTATTTTAGTTTTACTTCCGGTTTCATTTTGATGATGTACGTGTACGTCATCGGAACAGAATCGGAAGAGAAACTGATGACGTATACGTACGTCATCGGAATGTGAAACGGGTTAAGTGGCGAATGGCAGCGATTCCTAAGCATGTGGGTGTTGTGCGTGCAGGTGGGCCTGGGCCAGGGCTATTTGGAGCTACCGCAGGTGAACTACCGGCTGTCTGTGGAGCACAAGAACAAGAAGCTGTGTGCTCAGCTGATGCCCGAGCAGAGGCTGGTTAGTTCTGCATGGAGAGCGAGTCTCGTGTGAACGTTAACCATCGCGGGGGTAAAACGACGCCGTTGATTTGTCGATCAATATTCATTCTTAAGCTCGCACTACACGCAATGTAATCGCGTGTTTTTCAAATGGTATTTATTGCACGTTCACGCATCCCCTCTGCAAAGCCGCTGGAGATGCTGCCCATTCACAGGAGCGTTACAAAGGAGAATCATCTCTTGAGTTGAATCACAACGATTCACGGAATTGCTGGGAGGGTGAATCCTTCCACCCCAAAGCCGTGGATAGTGAGCGATATTACCGCACTTTGTGATGCTCGCCATGAGCACAGGTTATACACAGTATACATGGTAACCGCTTGTCCAACCTCTAGCATACCTTCTGAAGGAATGAGACAAAATCAGGCGGGTTGATTTTGAACAAAAGGCTGTATTTCGTCCAAAATTCTGAATACAAACCAAAAACATCGCAGGATCCGTTTAATTTCCATTCTGAATCGCTGACGTTATGCAATTTCTTCCCTGAAATCTTTGCTTGAAAGGTTACGAGCGAAACTTTCCTCGCCCTTGAATCGCCGTGGCGCCACTGAACCCCGCGCGTGCGCACGCCGTGCAGGTGCAGTCGCTGCTGGACACGAGGAGCGTGTACCTGCTCGACTGCCACTCGGACGTCTTCATCTGGATGGGGCGCCGCTCCCCGCGCCTGCTGCGTGCCGCCGCGCTCAAGCTGGGCTCCGAGGTGTGCGCCATGCTGCCCCGCCCGCGCCACGCCACCGTGCTCAAGAACATCGAGGGCACCGAGTCTCAGGTACCGCGATGCGTTGCAGAGCTCGACCACCGTGTTTCTGGCGGGCTCAGCCGTGGCTCATGGCAGTCCTCGTCTGCGTCAGCCCTGCCCACTTTCACGTAGCCACACCCACATGGTTACTGGGCCACTTGGCCACTCCGTCACTGGACGATAGTTGCTCGGACACTCAGCGACACAGCCACTGCACTATTCAGCGACTCGACTATACAGTCATGTGGCCACTAGGCCTCGGCCACTCAGCCACTCGGCCCAACCACATGGTGAGTGGCATCGCTCTTTCTGATGTTGGGCCCCACCTATTGAGGCTTCACCGACGACTCTGCCATCCCCGCCCGCTATACCTGCCATTCATGTATGGCCGCTCTTTGGTCCTATCAAGAGTCGAGTTTCAGACCAGACACATCTTATTCCGGGACAAAATCATGTATTTTACAACTGCTTCGGGACACCTCGACAGGCTTTCTGAAACCGAGGCTGTCCCAGGCCTAACTGGACCACGATTTGTAGCTCTAATAATACAACACAATTTAGGATTATAGAGCGTCTACATGCAACGCCATCTCTAAATGCTGTACACACTAGTGGAAAGTGCGGGAAGGCTAGACAAAGACAAATATCCCCCGTATAGCCCCAATAGATCGTTGGGGCAAGTGCTGCTCGTTAACACTTATGAAGGCCGATACGGCACACGAGGGTGGTGGATGGCCAGCACCACACCCCGCCGCCTTTGTCTCCCTAGTGGAGAATGTCTACACATTGCACCAAGTACTCATTTGAAGCTGAATCGACCTCGGGTTGACCCAGGACCAGTTCCATATATTCACCACTGTTATTGGTTGTGAGTGGGAATCTAACTCGGGTTGCTGGTTTCATAGCGCAGTGCACCAACCACTAAACCACCGCTCCCTAGATCACACACTTGGTATGGGTCACATTTAGATAGCACACCACACACACCTGGTATAATTTTTGTTTTATCATAAAGAGTTTCAAGTACCTTTAACCTGGTAGTATGAAAGTTGCTCTCGAAATAAATATTGTTAGTATATGCAATCTTAGGAACCATGACAATTTTAAAAAGCTAAACACATCAAATTAAGCTGCGTGTTAACACCCACGATGCTTTTGCGCTATAAATGACATGCACTAATTACTTAGTTGCAGGGAAATGTGTTGGTTTCTATTGTGTTATCATTCGTGAAAAACATTCTCATTCTGATTGCACCCAATCCCAATTAACATGCACTCGTCAGTCTACTGCACTTGCCATACCCTCAATATCCGACTGAACACAAGGGGTGGCGGGGATTAGTTTGAGTATTAAAGAATTAGCTTCATGACCATTCTCAGCGCTGTACATCCTGAGAGCTGCGCTGCTTGCTTTTGTGCGCAGATCTTCAAGTCCAAGTTCAGAAACTGGGACGACATCCTGGCGGTGGACTACACGCGGAGCGCCGACGCCGTGGGTCGCGCCGCCGGCCTCGATGGCAAGGTGCAGCAGGACGCTGCACCCCGGCGGCAGCAGCAGCAGCTCAAGGCCGACCTCTCGGCACTCTTCTACCCTCGCCAGCCGCCCATGCCACTGTCCGAGGTGCTGAGCGCTCTCTGACTCGCGCACACTCGCACTCCTCTACCCACGCCGACCGCACTGACTCACTCTCACACTCTCACTCCTCTACCCACACCCACCACACTGACTCACTCTCACACTCTCACTCCTCTACCCACACCCACCACACTAACTCACTCGCACACTCCTCTACCCACACCCACCACACTGACTCACTCGCACACTCACACTCCTCTACTCACGCCAACCACACTGACTCACTTGCACACTCTCACTCCTCTACGCACACCCACCACACTGACTCACACTCACACTCCTCTACCCACACCAATCACACTGACTCACTCTCACACTCTCACTCCTCTACCCACATCAACCAAACTGACTCAGTCGCACACTCACACTCTTCTACCTACACCCACCACACTGACTCACTCTCTCACTCCTCTACCCACACTGACTCACTCTCACTCCTCTACCCACACCCACCACACTGACTCACTCTCACACTCTCACTCCTCTACCCACACCCACCACACTGACTCACTCTCACACTCTCACTCCTCTACCCACACTGACTCACTCTCACACTCACACTCCTCTACCCACACAAATCACACTGACTCACTCTCACACTCTCACTCCTCTACCCACTCCCACCACACTGACTCACTCTCACACTCTCACTCCTCTACACACACCACCCACACTGACTCACTTGCACACTCACACTCCTCTACTCACACCAACCACACTGACTCACTCTCACACTCTCACTCCTCTACCCACACCCACCACACTGACTCACTCTCACACTCTCACTCCTCTACGCACACCCACCACACTCACTCTCACACTCACACTCCTCTACATATACCAACCACACTGACTCACTCTCACACTCTCACTCCTCTACCCACACCCACCACACTAACTCACTCGCACACTCCTCTACCCACACCCACCACACTGACTCACTCGCACACTCTCACTCCCTCTACACACTCCAACCACACTGACTCACACTCACACTCCTCTACCCACCACACTGACTCACTCGCACACTCACACTCCTCTACTCACGCCAACCACACTGACTCACCTGCACACTCTCACTCCTCTACGCACACCCACCACACTGACTCACTCTCACACTCACCCTCCTCTACCCACACCAATCACACTGACTCACTCTCACACTCTCACTCCTCTACCCACACCCACCACACTAACTCACTCGCACACTCCTCTACCCACACCCACCACACTGACTCACTCGCACACTCTCACTCCCTCTACACACTCCAACCACACTGACTCACACTCGCACTCCTCTACCCACACCAATCACACTGACTCACTCTCACACTCTCACTCCTCTACCCACACCCACCACACTGACTCACTCTCACACTCTCACTCCTCTACCCACACTGACTCACACTCACACTCCTCTACCCACACCAATCACACTGACTCACTCTCACACTCTCACTCCTCTACCCACACCCACCACACTGACTCACTCTCACACTCTCACTCCTCTACACACACCACCCACACTGACTCACTTGCACACTCGCACTCCTCTACTCACACCAACCACACTGACTCACTCTCACTCCTCTACCCACACCCACCACACTGACTCACTCTCACACTCTCACTCCTCTACCCACACTAACTCACTCTCACACTCTCACTCCTCTACCCACACCCACCACACTCACACTCACACTCCTCTACATATACCAACCACACTGACTCACTCTCACACTCTCACTCCTCTACCCACACCCACCACACTAACTCACTCGCACACTCCTCTACCCACACCCACCACACTGACTCACTCTCACACTCTCACTCCTCTACCCACACTGACTCACTCTCACTCCTCTACCCACACCCACCACACTGACTCACTCTCACACTCTCACTCCTCTACCCACACCCACCACACTGACTCACTCTCACACTCACACTCCTCTACCCACACCAATCACACTGACTCACTCTCACACTCTTACTCCTCTACCCACACCCACCACACTGACTCACTCTCACACTCTCACTCCTCTACCCACACTGACTCACACTCACACTCCTCTACCCACACCAATCACACTGACTCACTCTCACACTCTCACTCCTCTACCCACACCCACCACACTGACTCACTCTCACACTCTCACTCCTCTACACACACCACCCACACTGACTCACTTGCACACTCACACTCCTCTACTCACACCAACCACACTGACTCACTCTCACTCCTCTACCCACACCCACCACACTGACTCACTCTCACACTCTCACTCCTCTACCCACACTAACTCACTCTCACACTCTCACTCCTCTACGCACACCCACCACACTCACACTCACACTCCTCTACATATACCAACCACACTGACTCACTCTCACAATCTCACTCCTCTACCCACACCCACCACACTAACTCACTCGCACACTCCTCTACCCACACCCACCACACTGACTCACTCTCACACTCTCACTCCTCTACCCACACTGACTCACTCTCACTCCTCTACCCACACCCACCACACTGACTCACTCTCACACTCTCACTCCTCTACCCACACCCACCACACTGACTCACTCTCACACTCTCACTCCTCTACCCACACTGACTCACTCTCACACTCACACTCCTCTACCCACACAAATCACACTGACTCACTCTCACACTCTCACTCCTCTACCCACTCCCACCACACTGACTCACTCTCACACTCTCACTCCTCTACACACACCACCCACACTGACTCACTTGCACACTCACACTCCTCTACTCACACCAACCACACTGACTCACTCTCACACTCTCACTCCTCTACCCACACCCACCACACTGACTCACTCTCACACTCTCACTCCTCTACGCACACCCACCACACTCACTCTCACACTCACACTCCTCTACATATACCAACCACACTGACTCACTCTCACACTCTCACTCCTCTACCCACACCCACCACACTAACTCACTCGCACACTCCTCTACCCACACCCACCACACTGACTCACTCGCACACTCTCACTCCCTCTACACACTCCAACCACACTGACTCACACTCACACTCCTCTACCCACCACACTGACTCACTCGCACACTCACACTCCTCTACTCACGCCAACCACACTGACTCACCTGCACACTCTCACTCCTCTACGCACACCCACCACACTGACTCACTCTCACACTCACCCTCCTCTACCCACACCAATCACACTGACTCACTCTCACACTCTCACTCCTCTACCCACATCAACCACACTGACTCAGTCGCACACTCACACTCTTCTACCCACACCCACCACACTGACTCACTCTCACACTCTCACTCCTCTACCCACACTGACTCACTCTCACTCCTCTACCCACACCCACCACACTGACTCACTCTCACACTCTCACTCCTCTACCCACACCCACCACACTGACTCACTCTCACACTCACACTCCTCTACCCACACCAATCACACTGACTCACTCTCACACTCTCACTCCTCTACCCACACCAACCACACTGACTCACTCTCACTCCTCTACCCACACCCACCACACTGACTCACTCTCACACTCTCACTCCTCTACCCACACTAACTCACTCTCACTCCTCTACGCACACCCACCACACTCACACTCACACTCCTCTACATATACCAACCACACTGACTCACTCTCACACTCTCACTCCTCTACCCACACCCACCACACTAACTCACTCGCACACTCCTCTACCCACACCCACCACACTGACTCACTCTCACACTCTCACTCCTCTACCCACACTGACTCACTCTCACTCCTCTACCCACACCCACCACACTGACTCACTCTCACACTCTCACTCCTCTACCCACACCCACCACACTGACTCACTCTCACACTCACACTCCTCTACCCACACCAATCACACTGACTCCCTCTCACACTCTCACTCCTCTACCCACACCCACCACACTGACTCACTCTCACACTCTCACTCCTCTACCCACACTGACTCACACTCTCACTCCTCTACCCACACCAACCACACTGACTCACTCTCACTCCTCTACCCACACCCACCACACTAACTCACTCGCACACTCCTCTACCCACACCCACCACACTGACTCACTCTCACACTCTCACTCCTCTACCCACACTGACTCACTCTCACTCCTCTACCCACACCCACCACACTGACTCACTCTCACACTCTCACTCCTCTACCCACACCCACCACACTGACTCACTCTCACACTCACACTCCTCTACCCACACCAATCACACTGACTCACTCTCACACTCTCACTCCTCTACCCACACCCACCACACTGACTCACTCTCACACTCTCACTCCTCTACGCACACCCACCACACTCACTCTCACACTCACACTCCTCTACATATACCAACCACACTGACTCACTCTCACACTCTCACTCCTCTACCCACACCCACCACACTAACTCACTCGCACACTCCTCTACCCACACCCACCACACTGACTCACTCGCACACTCTCACTCCCTCTACACACTCCAACCACACTGACTCACACTCACACTCCTCTACCCACCACACTGACTCACTCGCACACTCACACTCCTCTACTCACGCCAACCACACTGACTCACCTGCACACTCTCACTCCTCTACGCACACCCACCACACTGACTCACTCTCACACTCACCCTCCTCTACCCACACCAATCACACTGACTCACTCTCACACTCTCACTCCTCTACACACACCACCCACACTGACTCACTTGCACACTCACACTCCTCTACTCACACCAACCACACTGACTCACTCTCACTCCTCTACCCACACCCACCACACTGACTCACTCTCACACTCTCACTCCTCTACCCACACTAACTCACTCTCACACTCTCACTCCTCTACGCACACCCACCACACTCACACTCACACTCCTCTACATATACCAACCACACTGACTCACTCTCACAATCTCACTCCTCTACCCACACC